TCAGCGCGTCTGTTTGGAGTGACAGGTTTCTCATAAATCATTGAATTAATTGTCGTATATCAGTCGCAGTATATGAATACATTATATCGATTACCCTTTAGTCGTCTTCATTGTCCGCAGTTCAAGCTGTGTAGTGTGTTCGTGTTTACTGATTCAATTATTGTTATCTTAATAGGATATATGATTGAAGCATTCACTGAAAGAAATCTTTACAAACCGTATTACTTCTAATAAAGATGCAATATCTGTTTGTTTGTTGTTTAACGCCGCACTAATCCATATTCCAGCAATATAACGGCGGCGTGTACATAATCGAGTCTGGACCAGGCAAACCAGTGGTTGACATCATGAGCATCGATCTACGCAATTGGGATACGATGATATGCATCAACCACGTCAGCGAGCCTGACAAACGAACCCGTTAGTCGCCTCTTACGACAAGCATGGGTGACCGAAGACCAAGCCTAACCCGTATATTCCCGATTTCTGTATAAAAACCTTCAAAAACAGACATTAAATCAATGTAACATAGTCATCGAGTCATATGAAGATAGTCATCGAGTCATACTAAAAGACTGGAATACCTACAATAACACGTGTCCTAAAGAAGTCACAGTGGAATTATCTATCTTCACACGACAGCAGCACAACATACATTGTAAGTGTATCAGTGACAATACTCGTAAAGAGTGTGAACAAAACACTGTGCTCTGAGCTTGAGTAACATAGAGCCTCCGCTCTAGACATTTGTGAAATGAACTTTTAGTGGCTTCCTTTAATCAGATCGTTTTGGGTGTCATATTCCATTATGATTTAACATCATTAATTGAATGGGGGTTGTTTTACTTCCCATTCCGAGTACTGCATCGTTTTAGAATAGGAGTCATCATTTTTTTATTCGACAAAGCAGTGGTTTATACCATGAGCAACGATCCACGTGGGCGGTATTCGAAGGTTCACAGTCAGCACACCCCCCCCCCCGATTACCCGGATGCTATCCCAGAAGTTTCGACCAGTTCGCGATCTCAGGGCCCCGTTCCCCAAAGCGATCTTAGCACTAAAGTGATCGTAAGTCCCATACTTTAACATAGGCTTACGATCATCGTAGCGCTAAGATTGCTTTTAGGAACGGGGCCCTGTTCGCCAACCATAAGCGCATTTATCGCTTTTATTAATAGTACAAGGATGTGTCGTCACATTGATCAACAACATAAAATACCGTTTTATCTTGACGATAAGGAAATGTAGGTTACTTTTGTTGTTGCATCGGTGATGGTGACGACGTTTTGATAAGTCATTTGTTTGGTATTGTGTGATTTTGGTTTACACTATTATGATTTGTATCACAAACTAAATAGTTCACCTGATCTTTGCTTATTTTATCGTGTGTACATGTTATTGTCAATGAGTAAAATGACTAAAATTTTCCCTTGGGAAAAATAGTGAACACCTAAATATTCAGATATGTTACAAATTGACTGGAAAATCGATCGATACATTTTATTTTAACAAATTCCAAACATTTTGATGTTTAATTTCATCACCCAGTGACTGAAAATCATAGAATTAGACTAAAGGAAAGTAAAAAGTACATGTCTATATTTCTTTGCTTCTTATCGTAGCATAATTAGTCTATTGTTATGCGTTAAGCCCTTTTGAACGTCTTGATAATTTTTAGTCATTCTGTTATGAATTCATTAAAACGTGCATTTCAATAGTTTAATCTTCACAAAACATGTTATATCCGCAGGACGTTACAACAGAAGCTGTAAAATCCCTGGAGATACACGTCTATCGACCAGAACTAACATAAATATAAATTTGTTTTGCGGCAGCGAGAACTTAGATTAGATTTTAATGAGATTGCATAAATCGATAATACTTTTTAACCCCGTTTATTACGGTAATGCTTCCGGTTACAACTGGAGCGTAAAAGCCATAGTATTATAAGAACTATCTGTATCCATCGGTCTGTCGAGTTGCAGGTCATGTTTCATTGATTATGAAGGGTAAATCGATCTCTGGTGATTCTTGGCCTCCGATAAACTGATCCCACTGTCGGTTCGCGCTGTCAGAGCCTCCCAAACTCGTCCATCCGTAGCCTTGGTCGTGTACTCGAATGACCATGCAGTTGTAGGATGCGTGTTCCGAATGCCTCTCTCCTATTGGTCAGTTGCAAATGTAGTGTTGATTTGATTGGATGAACATCACGATGCACACAGCACTGTAGATAAAACTGTCAGTTGCAACTATACGTGTACACAAAACGTGTACAATCGATACTTTCTCGCTCGAATAATATCGTTGTACGTAGGTGGCACGTACGTTGTCGTTCTTGAATACACATCAATATATCTAGTTCCGCCACGTTGAAAGAATGCAATTGGAAGTCGGGGATGCAATACACATAAGTTTGGACACAAAACCAGTTTAGCAAATGTAATTATCACATAAACTTATTGTTTGGAACAATAAACAACATGTTACAATGAAACATGTCAAAAGGTGAGACCAGAAATAAAAGGGTCGAATGGCCGAAAAGGCAACCGCGATTGTCCCGTGTATTATACCTTCATTCTATTATGATGAACACCCTGGGCCCAATCGCTTTACCATCTTGCCCCGACGGTGTGCATCTCTGCTCATGCTGTGAACCCCCTGCTTCCATGACACTGTCAACCCGTGACGATCTAGATTAGAATTGGTCTTCAGCAACCGAGCTTGTCGTAAGAGGCAACTTAATGGATCGGGGTGGTCTGGCTCGCTGACTTGGCTAATGCAATGTGATCATAACCCTATTACATAGATCGATGCTCATGATATCAATCACTAGATTGTCTGGTCCAGACTCTATTATTTACAGACCAGCGTCCTATAGCTGAGTGCGGAATTAAACAACAACAAACTCACCACCTGGCTACATGCCTCCCCGATATAGTTGAATTTTGGTGACTGCCGCAAAATCACATTCATTCAGTCAATCTTTTTCATCAGTATTGAATGAATGAAAGATGTTTTGCGCCACATTCAACAATATTCTAACTTTATCTTCACAACAGCTCTCACCCGCGGCGATTCCGCGGCTTAGAATAGTTCCCCGACAAAAAACACCGTTCGTATAGGGCGACTTAATGGATCGGGTGGTAGGGCTCGGTCCGTTGGTTGATTGGTATCATCGTACCTCGACGGCGTGGATGGTTGATCATAATAATTATCAATCACTGGTTTGTCTGGCCCAGACTCGATTATTAACAGGTCGCCGCAATATGACGGAATATTGCTGAGTGCTGCGTTTGAACAACAAACAAATAGAACAGTGTGTTTTTACTCGCACGCCAGTGAGACAAGCAGGTGCACAGGCTCAAATCAATAGGTATTTTCACACTCTATTAACGAGGTACTGCGTGGAATCTTTCTGACAATTACGTCAATCAATATCTGAATAAAAAGAGTTTTTAAACAAATATAAACTATATACGTTAACTAATTTTTCAGCTGTTTTTATTTCTGCGCTCTATTACGGTGCCAATGCTATATGATGGATCACCTCCGTAGCTGCTGATGCAATGAACACATGATAAATACATCTAGCACCTGCTGTTGCTGTCCCAAGCACAACACATGGGGTAAACAGGATATACATGTAGTTGTTTTACAATTGCTGCAATATTCACTTCTTGTGGTTGTGTGACTTTGGGTATAATTGGCCCCGGTCAACACGAATACACGACTTGAATACCTGAGGAATATTCACATGGGTATGGCAGCTTCCGTAATTGGTCGCAATTAGTGAGTTCATGTTGGAACAGGGTCTACTCGGCCTACATCATACGTGGCAGTGTTCGAAGTAGCGGAGTGCATGCTAGCCAAATGCCAGTGATTTTAAAATTGGTTAGTAACGTTTTCGAAAAGCTGGCCCGACTGACTAGATTGCGACAACCTAGGATATAAGAGCTTATCGTCACATTGATCAATTTGAAATAGACATTGATCAATTTGAAATACAGTTATTTTACAAATTCACAGAAACATCTGTCCATTTACTGTCATATGGTAACATATTCCTGATGTTTAATTTCATCAACCAATGACTGAAAATGATAGGATTAATAGAAAACGAAGTCAACATACATATTCATATTTTTTTGGCTTTATCCAGAACGATGTTTTAAGCCCCTTTTAACCTCTTAATAATTTGTAATCTAGATCTGTTAAATATATTGAAAGTCAATTTTTGAAAAGACTGAGAAATTTAGACATTTAAAAAATTACCTAATTGCCTAAGTGAATCACATTTTATACCCTGGCTGTAACATATACAAATGAAAAGGCTTCTGAAAACGACTCATTGTAGAATAAATCTGTTCGATGTTTCAGCAAATGAATGAAAACAAATTGCAAATATCGTATTACAGTTGTCATAAATCAATAAAAAGATAAACGTTCATTTTTTTTCTAAAAAGCGCTGCGCAAATGCCCTTGATAAACGATGCATGGATACTTACACCAGTCATAAATTTGCGAAAAGGATAATCTAAATCTAGGCCTAGTTTACGAGCAATCGCTCCAAATAAATCATCACTGAAAATTTAACGCATGAATTACGGTAGTGGAGTTTAACGCTATTGTTTACCTCCGGGTAAAACATTCGGCAAACGGATATTCTTACACTTTGGAAATAGTTCCAACTGTCCAATATCGCGTTTTATAAAGTTAGAAACTTCGCGCATTAAATACGGTAGTCGACTTTGACATTTTTGTTTACTTCCGGTAAAGTAAGTTGGCAAACGGATATTCTTACTCTTATTATATAGTTCTAGATACTTATGCTACTTAACATTTTATTGTATGTTGCATTCACAACAGAATGTGTATTATATTCACGAACATATTGTTAGACTACACTACGAATGAAAAATCAGGAACAATGTTCCCGTGTTAATTTTCCTTATGGTATGCAAATATGAGCGTGCGCATTGATCTCCTATGCAGTTATTCAGCCAAGATGGCGGCGTGCGGACGACGTGTCGCAAAGTTGTGGCTAGCTATTTTACTTTTATGTACATTTGTGTGTTCTCATGGACAAAAATTAGATGACAGTCGGAGCAACGATGGAAATATCCACAGGGAAAAAAGAGCGGCAATAGATAATTCTCTTGGTGGCAATCGAAAACCGTTTGGCAACAATAATTTTGATGGGAAACCGGGGAACCCGAAATTCCCTCAAAGAAATAATGGCGTTGGCAACAACCTACTAAACAATGAAGTGCCATACGTGAATAAACAACCAATGAATCAGAAGCTCGGAGGTTCATTTCCAAGAAATACAAACTTTCAACCAAAACGCGCAGGAAATGTGGACCAAATGCACAAGGCTCCACGTAAAGGATTCCAGATCAAAATAGTAGATTCTGAAGAGTGTGGAGCAGAAGTTCGGAAATATTGTGGGCAAAATTTGTGGGACAAGAACTTCATGGTTCTTGATTGTTTGCAGAATGATCTAAAGGTAATTGAAAAGCACCGATAACTGTCAAACTACCTGACCATGTGCAAGGTTCAAGCACTGGTTTCAATTCTGAAAACAGTGTGGTAATTGTCATGCAGACCTATAGTCGTGATTAAGTACAAACTGTTTCATACCTCTAAAATCATGATAGTAGTGTCAATGATGATTTTAACAGTTAATATATAACTGCCAAATAACGGGAGTACTGTGTTCCTATTGATGCACTTTTTGGGTCTGTGTTTTTTAACCATTAAAAAACTTAAACAAGTTTTTTTCAGTTTCAAGCCCTTTACATACGCTTTGAAATATTGAGAATAATAACATTATGACCAGACTGACAAAAGCATTTGTAGGCCTATTAAGGTCAATGCAGCTGAAATCAATATGGCTTAGAGTGGCATCTCCTGAGTAGCCTGACAGTTCCCCTTGGAGATGCTATTACAATGTTGGGAAGACATTTGAACATGTTTACAGCGGTTGAAACTCACATTTTTAGTGCACTAGTCCTTATAATGATATCATATAGCAAAACCCTTAAAATGGCTAATTTTTGCTAGTCCTTATGATACCTTTACTACTATGGAATATGGCAAGGACTATGGTATTAGTGCCAATTTCTAATGCTGGTTAGATCCTTAAAAAGTTGGACTTATCAAAATCATTAATCACCATGCATGCTTGATGACGACAACATTTAACAAATGTTTGAGTAATACTGACAGTTGCAGGGCCTGATTTTGTTGTCACCTTGTACATCATTTGCACTAACAGGAGGCAGTCTAGTGTGTCTTTTGATCTGAACTTTTACCAAACTTGAAAATAACAGCAGGCCAATTTGCCATGTTTGCCAAGGCATTGAATGGTGCTGAGGTAGCCTAGAATTGATAGGGTTTGCTAATCACATTTAAGACATGTGTTCAATTGTCAGTGTATGAAGCCCATGCGCCTTAATAGATCACATGGAGGGTGTGGATGGTTACTCATGATATCAATCACTGGATAATGTCAAGTCCAAACTCAGGACGTGTTATGGCTGAAATATTGCTGAGTGTGACTTTAAACAAAATGCACACACACACATCAGTGATTTTACGAGAGCAATGTCATTTGCAAAGGTTCATGATTTTATTAACTTTTTATAGGAAATTTGTCTGTTACTGTATTGTTACCAAATTTGACAAACCTCTTTTGATCACAATCCTTCAGGTCCTAGAGTATCAACGCATCTAAAAACCTGCACACTTCCCACTGTTGTACAGGTTATTTATGATATTTATGACACTCCTTTTAAAGGTAGTTCAACTGGATTGACTGGCCTCAATGTTAACACTGTCACAAGTTCAGTAGTATACAATGGTATAGAATATAAAATCCATAATTTAGCAATTATTAAGGTTTTCCTAGTACTACTATTTGTGAAAAAATGTGGATGGTTCTCCTATATCTACAGGGCTTACTAAATTCACTTGTCTGCTTATGTTGACTTGTGGCAGCATGTGCTCGTCCAACTGGGTGTCCACATATTTTTCAATCATATCAATTCATCTCTAATCGTTTTCAGTAAAATATGCAAGATAATTTCTAGCCTTCAATATGTTTTTATCTTTTGCATGATGTAAGTAAAAACACCAAAATACATGTCGCTCATATCATAAATAGATGACATACTTGGCAACTGTCTGTTACAGTAATAAACAGGATGTGTGTTTGGGCAGCAGGTATTCATGGGTATTGAAACTAGTTTTCAAAGGGAGATAATTAAGGAAATTATTTTTGTTGTAAGCGAACTGTTGCTGATGCTCAGGTGTCAAAGAGTGAACAGTCCATGATGGAATTTGTGAGGGAAATGGATGACATACAGAAGTTTTGATTGGGGTTGGTGGGGTTAGCGACAAAAAACCTGATTTAATTAACAACGAAACCGCATTATCGGTGGTTCGAAAAGGGAGCTAACTCCGTTTGCCTCATCGGAAGTTGGAGGTGGGCCTACATTTGAAACTAAATGCACTTGTTGTTGAGAATATGTACTACGTTAACAAACCCACATTACGAACTGCTATTTTGTCTGTTTAATATAAGTATTATGGCTTATAATTGGATTAGAATGTACAAATGCGATGACAATACAGCAGAACTCACTTCTATGAACATCGCCGAACTAGGTCATGGGGTCATTAATATTCATGAGTTATTCCTTTTATGGAACAAGTTCTTTGAAAAGTTTGAGGCTTGTATCATGTCCGAGATCAATTCAAGTGTAGAGATATTTTCAGGCTTATATCGCCACCAAAACTTATGATTAGATTGATGTGTTATACTGGCAAAAGTAGAATTAGTGGTATTTCCTCTGTAAATTATATTTGAAGTTGATCTAGATCTAAGTTTCTTGCTTTGTAACTATTTTTACAAAACTAGTGTGGTCAGCTATGATGACATTATTCAAACTTCAAAGACTTTGTGTGCCTTTCGTGGAATTAATGTCACACTAAATAATTTATAAAGATATTTCCCATCAATTTTACAAAATGAGAACAATATATAATGTCACAAACCCATGCAAAGTAATGACAAATGTGCCTAAATGGCTTAGTCAACCCAATGAAGCCCAGTGATTTACAAATGTGGGCCACCTGCTTCGATCACTTTAAAACGGGAACAATGTGGGCCTACATTTAAGAAAATGGTTAAAAGTAAGCCAAGCTAATGAGAAGCTTAGCGATTTATAAATGTGGTCCCTCTGGTTGCAATCACTATGACGGAAGAACTTCTACCCACTAGGCGATATACAAATGTGAGCTTGTTTCGATCAACATATATGACGGTAACAATGTGGGCCCACATTTGAGAAAATGGTTATCAGTATTTAAGTAGAATTTCGCGATTAATAAATGTGGTCCCACCTGTTGCAATCAATATGACGGAAGAACGTCTGCCCACATTTAGGAATTGATTATCAGAACTAACAAAACAACCAAACGAAGCTAGGAGATATACAAATGTGGGCCAACTTGTTTCGATCACCATATATGACGTGAAAAATGTCGGCCCACATTTTAGAAAATGGTTATCAGTACTAAACCAATCTAAGAAGATGTACGGATGGAAATATAAATATATAATGCATTCAAACATTTCATTAAGAATACGTTTTACCTTAGAGATAAGATGGGCATATTAATACCTGGACCAACAACGTACAGCGTGACTAACGCCATTTCTCACAAATACGAAAACAACGGCGATAGCTCCCGTTTGAAATTAGAGTGACCTCTCTTTCCCAATATGAAGCACTGATAATGCAGTTTCGCCAATTAACATACAGGCTGAAAAAATGAAACTTTGTCAAAAACAGTAGGAATGTGAAAACAATCTGCGCAAGATGCATAGTTGAGTGCGTTTGAATAGGCAAGGATGAACATAGATGGTGGGAACTCATATTTTGTACTGTCTAATGTAATAATAACTGAGAATATAAAACTTTATATAATTTGACAAAGCAAGTGATATATTTGCAGGATGAGTACAAAATATTATCTACTTCCCTGCAGGACAATTTGGATTTAAGCCCTGATCTATCCGAGCACTATTTACAAAATTGATCCAGTCTCCAATGCCATGTTGTTTGCACAAGTATCTGACCTTAGTGACACCCATCCCCCCCCCCCCCCCCCCCTTAAAATATGTGCGTGATTCCAATTTCAGCCCATCAAAATACAGTGTAGGAAGGTTGGGAGGTAGGGTAAAACAAGAAATAATTTGTTCTTCCGATTACCCAACCAATTCTATAAAATGCATTTGACCCTAATGTTTTTTCACTATTACCATATATCACAGTCTATAAAGCGTTCTTGCCTATAAGGCAACCCCAGGTAAAACACTTTAAAATTGATGCTTATTTATTTTCCCCATCTATAAGGCGATCTGGAATGAAGTACATCCAGCGCATACACATTCTCTACATGTGCAGTGAAAGCTGTTTTCATTAGCTGATATGTTTGCCACGTTTATCTATCGTGTGATTCTTAGCTGTTTATACATCCATTGTTTCTGCCATTTATGTAAATCTTACAAAAATAACAACATTGAATAGGTTTTTGAATGTGTGAAACAACCTCTGATCTTAACATTGTGAATAAATAATATAAGAATTAACGGTCAGTAACTAACATTTATTACTCTCTGTTTGGGTAATAAAGGACCAGCTGCCCTCGACCCCATTCAACACAATAAATGCCTGTGACGGATTTATCCCTTGAGCAAACAACTTAAGGCATCTTCAGTGTTGTTACAAATCGACATAAGTTGACAGTTTTCACTTGAATGAGCATAAAAGACATAATGTATGAGGCAGAAGCAGGCAGACTGCTATTATATCGTTGAAAAGTGCTGTCCGTCAAACACTAGGAACCTGTTATAGCCTCAATATGGGGAATCCCCTCAGTGGCAGAATTTTTTGTTTTGGGGGGGCGATTTTGCCTGTCGCTTTTTACCATTTATTTTATGCTATTTCTGTTTCTCAAATATGATTTTGGTCAAGGTTTTGGGATTAGGTATGCCCTTAAGTATTAAAATTTGAAAACCATGTTGACTTTACTTGCCCTTTAAAGCAAATAGTAAGTCTGATGCCAAAATAACCTACACATGTGCTGTGTCGACCAGTAAGGTTACAACTGTTGCACACATTCCAGTACCGGTACTCTCTGTTCTACCATTTAAACTATGGGTCTCAGAGATGGTCCTATGCTTACAACACTGTACGGTTTTCTTTCAGTATGATATATCAACAAATGCTGTGGAAATAACAATAATAATTGTCCTCAGTTTCAATTTTATTCCACCTTTGTGAAATTTGGGGTCGTTGTGTCTTCAGGCACTGTTTTGGGTGTTGACTTGACAGTGTGAATGTCCTCATAACCCTGACTAGTCAGGGCTAGATGGACGTGATCGACCAGTCAGGGCTAGATGTATAGATGTGACAGACGAGTCAGGGCTAGATAAATGTGATTGACTAGTCAGGGCTAGATAGACGTGATAGACCAGTCAGGGCTAGATAGATGTGATAGACTAGTATGGGCTTGATAGATGTGATAGACTAGTCAGGGCTAGATAGATGTGATAAACTAGTCAGGGCTTGATAGATGTGATAAACTAGTCAGGGCTTGATAGATGTGATATACTGGTCAGGGCTTGATAGATGTGATAAACTAGTCAGGGCTTGATAGATGTGATAAACTAGTCAGGGCTTGATAGATGTGATAAACTAGTCATGGCTAGATAGATGAAATAGACTAGTCAGGGCTAGATAAGCATGATGATGCAACTAATCAGATGTAAGGGACAAAAAGTAAGCAGAAACTTTTATAAAGTGGTTAAAAATGTGATGAATGTTGCTATGATATATTTCAATGTTTTATTTAAGACAAAGAGAGCAGAGGAAAGTGAAGAGATATGCTGTGCCATGTTTTACCTATGCTTTCTGCCCAGACATAACATGTTCCAATTCAAGCCTTCTAGACTGTCAGATGTAGATACCCTTCAGAACATAGAGTATGTCAGCTGGTTTGTAGTAGGACTAACAATGTCTAAGCAGTGTCTTCAGATAAGAAAAGAAAATGTTCTGATATTTATCTAGGAGAGTTGCAGTTCACAAATATGCAACAACAAACTGAACTGTATGCACCCAAACACTCAGATTGGCAGGATTATCCGCTAGATAGTATGAGGTTAAGAAGAACCTGCATACTCCTTCAGTACCGTATGTTCACCTATTCAGAATTAGCTGTATACACACAAAATCAAACCAGCTGACAGTCTTAATCAGGTTTACCCTGTTTTTAGTTCAACATTTACAAATGTTGTTTTTTTAATTTGTTCATTTGCAACAATTAGGTTTGGTGGTGGGTTAGGTATAATGAGACCGGCATGATCAGTCCATGCTGTCAATGTTGAATAGAACCTAGCCACACCTCCATGTTGACTGTTTCCACCATGTTGACTGTTTCTACAATCTATTTATTATTCTGATGAATAGATTATGTACATGATATAGGTTTCAACATCATGTTAAAAATATATTGTGTTTTCTCTCAATATACTCAAAAACATGTTATACCATGTTATGCAGGATAACATATTCATACTAAACAGGGCTCGATTTAAGGGACTTGATTTTACTTGCACCGGGTGCATGTTGACATGAAAAGTAGGTTGCACCAGAATAAAAAACAGGTTGCACCATGTACCAAAATCGATCAAAGGTGAAACATGCACATACCGGGTAATTTTGAAATCCCACATTTTTGCTACAACAAGCCCCAAAAGCAGGACAAATTACATATTAAAAGGGGGTTATTCACTTATATGGAAAATAAGCTTGGAGATATTGAATGTTTTCGAAGGTCAATGCCTTGTAAGGGTTGGACACAAGTTTGAAAAATATTGTCATGCATTTGGTGTTTGTAGACATAAATATTAGGATGCATTGTTAATACCAGGTTGCACTGGTGCATGTTTTATATAGTTAAATCAAGCCCTGCTAAATAACTTTTATATTAAGACATGTTTCAGTGTAGGAGTAATATTAAATAGTACATATAAACAGAGCTCCAGATAAGCTGCGTATCTGCATAAAATACGCATCAGAAATGCAGAAATACGCAGTAAAATAAAATCCAAGCGTATCAAATACGCAACGAACATTACAGAAACGCTACAAAAATAAAACTTGTGCGTATCACCAAAATATTGTGAAGTAACCCTGCGTATTCGATAAGCAAATCAGCAACTTATTTGAAATTATAGATGGGCATTTCGTCAACCTTGCCAAACTCCACGATGACAGTTACATCATGATCATTTGCCATCACACTTTCTGTGGAAGTATCGTGGTATTTTTGAGTCCTATAAACATGATAAAGCTCTCGAACCCACACGAAACCAGTTTGCAGGGCCTAGATGAAAAGTGTTTTTAAATATTTAACTTAAATACCCACATGTGTAAAAACTAGTAGGTAACAGAAATTTGAATACCCAGATAGAATTACTGATACCCAATGATTTTAAAATGCATGGGTAAAATACCCACAACACCAAAAGCTTATCTGGAGCTCTGTATAAAACATAACGCGTTCATTGCAAGTATTCTTTATTCCACATATATTGTCCCAGTGGTTATTCAGTGCTTATTTATGTCATCAGATAACCTTTCTGTTAAAAAAACCATTTCCTTCTAGTTGAGAATGTTGAGTTTATTTATGATAAGAGATAATAGTACTCAGTTGTATGTAAGGTGCTGATTGTGCAATATTTTGCCCTCTTATATTATATGAATTAAGTTATATGATTAAAAACTTCTAACCATTTGTTAACACTCTGAGAAGGACCTCAGGTGGGAGTTTAGCTTTATTTTAGACACGGTAACCATGGAAACCCAAGTTTCTTTGAGAGAATGGAGGTTTTTTTTATGTATTGTCTTGTTTACCATGTTTACTTTGAAATACATTTTAACTTATAATTAATTTCAGATGGATACAGAATTGAGCAAGTCATGCCAGCATGTAAGTACTTAGCAAGTAGATACATTTATTGGGAAAAGAAAGTTATCAGTTTGTTTATTAATTTAATGATTAAAGTAACCATGGTAATAGATTGTAAATTTTGTTAAACTGTTAAAGCTTTAACTGTTCATATTCCTTTCTTTGTAAGAAGGTTGGGATTCCGGGTTAAATGGTTCCCACCAAGCTGTGCTTTTCGTACAAGGTGACAAAATAAAGTGGGTGGTCAGGCTCAGTGAGTTAGTTCATAGAGTGTTGTTGTACCCTGATAGCGAGGGACATTGCTCACAATATCAATCACTGGTTTGTCTGGTCCAGACTTGTTTGATTATAGGTAGCCGTCATATGTCTGAGTGTGGCATTAAACAACACAAATTTTCAACAAGGTGATTTTATTGTGTATTTTGTATTTTTATGATTTTTTTTAAAACAGGTCAAAGTCAAGCTATATGGCTATGCCTTTGTATATTTGGACTATCTGTTGTCAGCATTGTCAGTTTTTTACTTCTTTTTTTTTTTACAGTTCCTGTGGATGTACAAACGAAATTTGACTAAGGATGAACGATTTGAACATGCTTCACAAGATGTCTGCAAGGGAGAACTACAGTCGGTGAGTTTATGTCATCAATTGTTTCCTAGTTACCTGCTTAGTTTGTTTATGATCATAAGCATATGTGAACTGCTTTACAATCTGTGTGGACTTTGTGATTCCACATGAGACCTAGTTATGATATCAAGTAACTGGCTTTCATTTAGTTTCAACAACTAGCATCCAATTCAGACTGTTTCTAAGATGGTTTATTATATCACATGGTTAGCGTGGTGAACAGATCTTCCCATCATAATTCTGTTTATTTCTGTTTTTCGTTTCCATTTCAGCGGTAGAAAATAACAGTTTTATTTAAATCCACTAGTGCTTATAATGATAACATATAGCAAAACCCTTAAAAATGGCAAATGTCTACTAGTCCTTATGATACAATTGAGCAGTTTGGCAAGGACTACAGGACTAATGCCAATTTCTATTAAACGCTGCATTTTTTATTACCTAAAAAGTTGGTTTGAAGGTCAAGATATGAATTTGAATAAAATACCTTCAACGGGAATTGTTTACATTTAAGTTTAAAATACCTCACCAGTTTTGGTCCTTTAAGCATGTTAAATAATAAATTGAATTTGACACCAGAGTTTCCAGGTCATATTAATTTTGTTTTGTTCCTTTTTGTCCAAGTCTTGAGAAAATGCATCTGACATCTTCATCTAAAGTACTCACGGAAATGAAAAAAACCTTTTTTTTATCTCAGAGTTTAAATAAATGCAGTTAATATACAAAATATATAAATATTCAAACAACTCAATTAGTACTAATTGGGTCTTGGCACAAATACAGCATATCAAAGGTTTTTATGTCTTTTTACACGTAAAAGTGTGTAAAATATGAATATGATTTTCTTTGCAACCAGTTTTCAATTTTTAAGATTGCCGGATCCATAAATGCTGTAAACAAAATGTAAGATGTTAGAATGATAATAAGTCTCCGGAAACAGAATAAGTGCGCTTACATACCAGGTTACCATGCTTAATCCCTGTTATTGTCTTCCAGATCAAGGATTGCAGTGACTTACAGAGAGGCAAGGGTACAATCATCTCCTGTCTGATTGAAAACTTTGATAATGTAACCTCAGCATCTTGCCGCCAGTTCCTGAACAAGATGGCTACCATTGTGTTCAGTGACTATAGGCTCATTTACCACTTTGCTGAGGATTGTTTTGATGATATCAGCAAGACTCGTTGCGGCCGGAGTGAGGGTGATGACGATGAAGCAGTGAGTTGGAGCCTTTCACCATGATGTTTGTTTGTTTTAGACTATCTAATTAAAATCAGTTCATTGCGTTGGCTTCTGCTACACAAAGATCTGAGGACATCCCATCACAGGTCATGTCAGCACGACATTTTGCTACCGAGCAATGAAATTACTAACAGGAAGTCAACATCGGCTAATCAGAACGCAGCTTTCTCAAGCTTTTCAGCACTGGCACCTTCCATTCCAGATTACACCTTAAAAAATATGTGGACAAAGTTCTAGAACTTCGTGTTAATCCCCTTCTTGGATTTACACAGTATGCACACCGGTTTTTACGTTTGTCCTTCCACAGCAAAAATATTGAAGTCATTTCTTTATTAAGCTAAAAAAACTTTAATTAGTAACAGTGTATCTGCCGCAATAGTCAATTATTTTGCCATTACTGTTTGTGTTATTCTTTTTCCTATCAGCTGCACACCCAGGGACGTACGTTATCCTGTCTAGCTGAGAAAATGACAAACCTGTCTGGCAAATGTAAGGTCCAGGTATTGAGAACATATGAACTTCAATCTGATGACTACCACCTTGACCGACCTCTCTACTACGCCTGTAGAGAAGACAGGGAGCATCTGTGTGCCACGGTAACCGCCGGGGGCGGCAAAGTCTTCAACTGCCTTTACAGCCATGTTGCAGATAAAGCCATGAGCCATGAGGTAGGTAGTTACATCAGAAGGGCACATGGCTTGAATGACCTTGAAGTTTAGAGTTTATCTTGATAAGGCCTTGAATTTTAGAATTTATGTTGAAAAGGCCTTGAATCTGCATTTGCCTTGAAAATAAACATGGCTTGAAAAGAGCTTTAATCAAACCGTAACTATACATCAATACACATGTATGTAACCGCAACACAAACATGCTTGAGAATGTCCATGAACGTATGCAATAATTCTGCAGGACAAAAGTAATTTATACTTGTAGCTGATTATACATGCCTCCTTTGCATGATTGCTGCTTGAATTAGGGGTGTTCTACCGAATGAACGGGATTGTGATCGGGATGATATTTGCCTTGAGAAACTCATGAAAAGGCCTTGATATTGTTAAGGAAATATGTGTACCAACCATGCCAACCCTGATACTGCACCATTAACCCTTAATTTCATGGTGTTCAGAGATTTATGTGGGTATGTACCCATTGTCTACAGCAAATGATAAAAAAGGTAAAAATTCCCAAATTGGAATTTTACCGTTGAAAATTTAGGTCATTTTATTGAATGAGGGTGCACTAAGCTGCAACCATAAGTGATTCCTCTTTTGTCTATTTTGAAAAAGTTATTGACACTAAAGGGTATTGATATATCTTCAATTCTTTCAGCAGAGGGGGCACGGTTGGCCCAGTCGTCTAAGGTGCTGTGATTCGCTGTGCAGAGTTGCATTCCTTGGGCACGCCAGAAACCTATGATTGTGGGTTCGAATCCCGGTTCGCCCCGATTATGTTTCTAGGTTTGTCAGCACCATACCAGTGCTCGTGGGTTTCACCGAAGTGGTAAACGTCTGAGACCTGCATCCCTTCGGGCTTTCCTCCCACATTAAGCTGACACGCAGTGATATAACTGTAATAATGTTAAAAGCGGCTTTAAACCCAACTCACTCACTCTTTCAGCAGATGTCATGAGATGGTTAAAGTCTTGAGAAAGTCTTGAAAATTCGCAAAAAAATGGTGGTTGCACATTTGGACCTTGTTTTGTGTGTTTGGTTGTTACAGTGAGCCTTTTGAAGGAAGGTCAACAGCCCAGATAAAATGGATCAGGAACTAATCAGATCATTTATTTCAGTGTCGTGAAAAGATCGAGCTGAGGCAGAAGCTTATTTCCCAGGATGTGAAAATGGACAAGAGCTTCTACAGGGCATGCAAGCATGACATTGAAAAGAATGACTGCTTTGTTGGATCTAGTACAAATGGGGACACCAAACGAGCCTCAGTCCTTCTTTGCCTGGAGAATGCATCCAAATCAGGTAGGTTTCTTTACTTTCCCCATATTTACTATCACTTGTGTACTTGTGGTACTATAGATGCAAGGAGGATTTTCATCACCTTTTAACATTATGTTTTTGGTTTTAATATCACTTGGTATCCTCCTTCATCAAGCTGACATACATGATATAACTGCAAGTGCAAAGTGGCGATTAATCAAGTTTACTAACACAAATAACCTGTATATCCATGCCTACGTTGTCCTCCGTGTTCCAGGGAAGAAGCTGAAGGGCAAGTGTGTGGCCCAGATGGAGGATGTGAGGAAGATGCTGATGGAGGACTACAGGTTGTCCCCCAACCTTGTGGCCAGGTGTGGCGAGGAGATCAAGAATCACTGCAGTGATAAGGACATCGGAGGAGAAACTCTTCACTGCCTTATGGGATTGGCCAAAGAAGTTACAGATAAGCCCAAGATCTCACCTGCTTGCACAAGAGAGGTATTTTCATTTTACTGTTGGTATTTTCTGTTGTATGTAGAGGAAGTCTCATTTTGGCTCCGCTTGACAATCCTAAGGGCCTGCGCCTTTGCTGGATTGCCTCCTCCTGTGACATCCAATCCACATGAGACTAGAGCTGTCGCCTCTACCATGGCCATGCACAGCAACTACACCCTGTCTGCCATCATGGAAGGGTATTTTGGGAGTCTGACATGTCTTCACTACCTACATGACATCTCAGTCGGCACTGTTCAGGGCCAACAGTTGACAGCTGCCTATCAGTGCAGATAGACGATACCGTACTCGCTCCTGCAGCCCAGTACTCTGAATCCTGTACATACTGAATCATCATTGGAACGTCCTTTCTTTGTTTATTCTCATTATTCGGGTTCCCAGACTGAGTACCCACTGGGGGGTGAGCTACCTGGTCCGTAGAGACTCATGTCTTCAACATCGAAGTCACCCTTACCTGTTCACCTCTGCTTTAGACATGTGATGTCTCAGTATTGGTTTGATGATCCTCTCGTGAATGTTGTTGGTCGATCCTATTCTTGTCTAAGCATCCTTAATCCCTCAGGCGTCATTGATAGCTTTGACCATTTAAAGAGATGCCAAGCTAGATCACTCTATTGTCCGATGGAGATAGTGGTGGGGTCTTTCTTGTAGAACTGATAGCCTAGAGACCCCTTCTGGATTGGTTATAAGTCGTATGCTGAATGGATCTCTATTCAAAGCTATGCAGTAGTTTGTGTAACGATGTCCTACGTGAAAACACGTAACACGTCATACCTGATTTCATGAAGCTACGTCCGACTTGCGTGAAGGAGCCACGTCGTCTGTTATGGTGTTTTTACCCACTCACAAGTCTTTTATGGCACTAGGCAGTGTTTATAGATTCTTTTTATTTGTATTACTGTTTAGCACAGCTTCCTCATGTATGTCTCAAGATTGTAGTCTCTACAGGCTAGGTTATCTGCGGCCCACCGTCCAACCGTACGATAAATGCATAGTCAGTGATAGGATAAGTTTATAAATTTGTAAACTTTACTTTAAATTGTATATTGATATACTTAATATCCTTTTCGCACACTATACATGCTTGATGCCCACCCAATATCACAGTTCCTCTTGCCTGTCAGCTCTTAGAAAGAGAATGACGTGGCAAGGGTAGCCAGGTGATCAGTTGTGAAAGGTCACATGGATAGGATTACTGTGTGTGACCCATCAGTTTAGGTGGTGACCATGGTGATGCTTGGATGTGTTCTGGTCAAATGTTTTTAGAAGCCGGAAACTTTGTTCAAGCATGTTGCCACCTAAGATTTGAAAAAAATGAAGAAATGCATCATGTGAGATAGAATAAGTACATAAATACAATTTCATTAGACAGTTAAATTCACTATCTTAACCAAGACTCAGGACTTAGAAATCCATGACGTCAGCAGAGTATATGTAATTCCTTGCAGTATGTTGCCTATCCTCCTATTCCCAACAATTTAACAGCTGCTCTCATGTATATTTCTCAGCTTGAAGCCCTGATGATGGAGACAGATGTGGGTTCCGACATCAAGATAGACCGTGCCCTCCAGCGAGCATGTCAGTCAGTTGTCGACAAACTCTGCGATGACGTCCACCCAGGAGATGGAGGGTAAGGAACATTCTAGGCAGTAGGAAGCTCTTGAGGATGTCAGATGGCCTTGAACCCATGAACATGTTGAACTGATATTATCTGACTATCATTTACCATAGGATTATGATTCAAACCCTCCTCCTAGCTGTTAAGGAAGATTACTTCAGACATACTCTGTCAAAATGTTATTAGTATCAGGAGTAGACACCTGTCATATCCAACTAGTCCACAGCTCATTTGGGATTAGTGGCTATATAAATAAACAGGACAAGTGGCCATGTCTGTCCGTGTGTGTGGACTGTATAGTCTTTTTACTATCCTGTGTTGGCATGCAAGGTTCGAGCCAGTTCATCAGTCAACATAATCCCTTTGCTTTTGGAGATTTGTTTTATATGCTTGATTCTGCTGTGGTAATGAATGATCCAGTGTTTGTATGTTATTTATCAGTGTCATCAACTGTTTGATGGAGAATATTGACAGTGATGATATGACTGACTCTTGTGAAGAGAAGCTGCTGGAGATACAGTTCTTCATCATGAGAGACTTTAGGTATGTACACACTCTTTTTTTCATCCATCTTCCCCACCTTGGTGAGTCGGTCAACTCAATCCAGGGCCATTTGAACTTGAATACTCTTGATCATGGGTTTGAATCTCAGATTCCCCAGTTTATGATTCCTGGTTTGTCATCACCATTGGTGTGCCTAATCATGTGATCTTGGGTTGAATCCTAGATTTGCACTGAACTCGGGGACAGAGTTGCCTCCCTTAGGCGTGCCTTTATCCTCTAGTTGTGGGTTTGAATCTCAGATCTCCCCTGATTATGATTCCTGCTTTGTCAGCACTATTGGTGGGGTGAATCTCACTCAAAAGAATCTCAGATCTCCCCTGATTATGATTCCTGCTTTGTCAGCACTATTGGTGTTGAATCTCACTCAAAAGAATCTCAGATCTCCCCTGATTATGATTCCTGCTTTGTCAGCACTATTGGTGGGGTGAATCTCACTCAAAAGAGGCAGGGAAAGAGTTGCCTCCCTTAGGCGTGCCTGAATCCTCTGGTTGTGGGTTTGAATCTCAGATCCCCCTGATTATGGTTCCTTGTCAGCATCATACCCATCCACCTGTTGTCATTATATAGCTGGAATAGTGCTTACCATGGCATAGGACACGATTCACTTTCTCCTTTGAGTGAAACCTCATTAATTCAGACAGAACCAATCCCATTGAAATTGTCTAGATTAACAAGTTTCTGAATTATCAAATGTTTCGTTAATGTTTCTTTGTAATAGTAATAAATATGCAGCAGGGTCCATAGCCTAGTGTGTTTGGTCTGTACAGAACCTTACGGAACCAGGGACCTGTTCCAAAAAGCGATTGTAGCTCTATGGCTGTCGTAAGTCTATGTTAAAGTGTAGGAGTTACAATTGTCTTAGTGCTAATGCTTTGTGGAACGGGGCCCTGACATGTAATTTTGCTGTGACCTATCAATAACAAATACTATTGCAGGACAGTGTCAAATCTAAGAGTCTCACATGTATGAAGGTCGCAGTCTCTTGATATTAACATTGCATCAGAAATATTTCAGCCATATGGCGATGTCATGATACTTGTAAGGCTCCAGATACTGATTTCATACATAAATCATATGTATATGAACTTGACACATGGACCAAAGGTCCAAGTGAACTTTTGCTATGGTTTGTTTGTCTGTTTTGAGTAAACGTCTTTTTTCCTTAAAATATGTTCCAGAGATGTGTACACATTTTTCTGTCCTTTCTAACACTGAGGTTGGTCTCTCAGGGCATCATGTAAGGGGAGGGGAGGGAATCAAGGGTTTAAAGTGTTGGCTTGTAACACCAAAGAATGGGGTTAACATGTTATGAAGCCCAATTTTGGTTTGGTAGTTGGAATCTAAGACCTGCCTCATTTTGGCCTTTCTCACTAAACCCGTGAAGATTCCGGGATAGCATAGGTCTTTAGCAACCCATGCTTGCCGTAAAAGGCGACTATGCTAGTCGTAAAAGGCGACTTATGGGATCGGGTTGTCAGGCTCGCTGACTTGGTTGATGCGTGTCATCGATCCCAATTGCATAGATCGATGCTCATGATACTAATCACTGGATTGTCTGGTCCAGACTCGATTATTGACAGACCGCCGTCATATAGCTGGAATATTGCTGAGTGCGGCGTTAAACAACAAACCAACCAACCAACCAACCTTTCTCACTAAACTCACTCATTCAAACACTTCAGGTTGATAACCATGGTAACTTTTTGGCTACATACTATTTCTATGTTTCGATTACATAATATCAAAATGGTTATGATACATGTGTATAAGTCTGTAATTTCATTTGTTGAGGTTGAAAATCGCCAAGTTTCTTTTGTTATTCATTAAATTAAACCAACCGTAGATGAGTAGGATGTCATTGTCATTGAGATTTTGGCTCATTCCTGGGGCTGGACATTTTAGCATCATCGATGTTAGGGTATCTAATTTAGGACTGTTTCTCCGTTGAGAAAGGAAGGTGAGCCTCAGAGCCTTGTCTCTATTTGAGCTAAGATTATTGCAAGTCTGCGTTAGAAATAATTTATCATAAGAATACGGAGTCCCTGTTGTTATGGCACAAATTGCTATCTTACCTTTTCTGGCACTGACATCCAAAGCATGAATTCCTAGATCTATATATTGCTTTTTTTCTAGACACATGTTAGAATTTTATGATTTTCAGAGTGTATGTTGTTTCTTTTCTTTTGAACTACTGTCATGTTTCTTTTGTGATGGACACACTTTAAATACATTTCCTTTTGAGGAACTAGTGTTAAAATGGCAAGCTGCTGATAAAACTGAAAATAACGTGAAACTTCAAATAATATGAAACAAAACTTGATATGACAACCTGGTGACAGTACTGACATCCACTTGCTCTGTTGAACTTTTTAAGATTGAGATATTCTTTCATTACACTGCACTGTAATGTGTCATTGTAATGGAGCTTTATACAAGGGAATAACACTGGACTAATGGCAGGGTCCTTTTAGCACAGATCACAATAATCACTCCAGGTGAATGGTAAAAGTTTCTCTTCACTTACTGGTCTTGAAATTTGGCAACATGAATCTTGCAGTAGTTTGGGTAAGGGAAAATTAATACCCTCTTGTCCAGTTTGGGCAGTAATCCTTGCACTTACATTGGCACCAAACTGTTCAGGTTTCTATCTAAAACTCAGCAATATAATGCTTAACTAATAGTTTCTTCCCTGGGTTTCTCTACATGCTCAAAGAATGCTGTTTGACATTGCTTCTGTAGGCTGCATTTGCTTTGCTGATTTTATCTTTGATGTCAAACATTGTGTGAGATCCGAACCTGCCAGCTCAGGGCCGCATTGTATTTTAGGTTAGGAATGCGTTCAGGTGTACTGGGTCTCTTCCTCTCAACTCTCCCTTCTGATCTCATTAAAATTAGACCTTGCCCTCCGATGGATCCCTCTCTGTGTGACGATCTGATGTCGCCTCCACAGAAGGGTGTGTCAGGTCAAAGCCAGGGAGAGCTTTTGACTGTCCAATCAAAATGATCAATGCCAATTAGAAGTTGGCTTTCTAGAATTATTTGGCTTCATTTCTTTACCAGAAATTTCGATTTCAATGAAAGGAAAACCACAGAAAACACATATTCCTTTTGATGGTACTTCCCTTTTAGGTGTAGAAGCCACGACACTCAAAATTGATAGGGTGTATAAAATATCAACAACAAAATAATGTCCCAACCTTTATGATTTACTTTTGCTTTCAAGATACAGAAATCAGATACGTTGGTCTGAATACTTTGCTGATTTTTATGTGAATTTAGCTTTTACTGCTGTTTGGGTGAGTTAAATGTTCACCTGATGCTATATTCTATGGAGATGTCCTCAGATCTTCACATAAACATGCATCGTATCAGAGTAAGAGATCTGATTTTAATGAGATTGCCCTCAGTACTAACACCATAGTTTGCAGACTCTGTGCTAAATGCTCTTCAGTGTCCTACTCCCAGCTAGCCTTAAGCCATCATTTTCAACAGATTTTTAACTTAAATAGGCTTTTGTCAACCACGTTAACAAGCCCACATTATATCACATGGGGTTTTTTAACCAGTGGTTGAGGATAAAGAGTCATTCTAACTAATTATTTCCATCTAAGTTTGCATCTAAGGGGCATAACATTGGATGTTGAAATGGAGTGTTTTGTTTGATGGGTTTTAACTGTGGTACTCTATTGACTTGCAGACTAGATACCCATTTGTACAAATCGTGTAAGACAGATGCAAAGAAATTTTGCCAAGCTGGGGATGACTGGTTCAACCCTCGTTCCATGAAACCAGATAACAACCCTTTTATTCTGCCATGCCTCCATGGCTCGCAGGTGAGGCGCTTGCTCAGATCTCCTCCAAGACAGAGAGGGGAGGAGGGGCTCGCACATCCGTCACTAGATGCAAACTGCTCTCTAACCGAGTCACAACATGAAATAGCGTTAGCGCTAGTCTTATATCTTTACCTATCTAATGTGATCCGCTGTCACTAGTGAAACTTTTTTATGCTTTAGCAGTGTTCGAAGTTAAAGGGGGTTCAGGGGTCCTTAAAGCTTGCCATGGTATTTGAATCGACAGACCTCTTTAAAATTTCAATTTAACAGGGTTAATACAAGGACCCATATACTTTCAGGGTTAGTTTCGAACACTGTTTAGTAGTATAGATAACAGTTAACAAAATAAAAAGCAGTTTTTGTCTAGTTTCAAAGGTGTTGCTCATTGTTTCTGTAGAACACTCCACCTTTCCTATTCCTATTGCGGTAAATATGCTCAGTTTCGGTTCTCCTTCGCATCCATCAGAACCAAGTCTATCATCCAAATCTAGAGTTGTTGTGAAGGCTGAGTGTTCTTTAGAAGCCCCTTCTCTTGTTTTGGCCATTAGCATGGTTATTCTTGTCCTCAAGATACTTTGGTTTTTTTTAATGTGCATTTGAAGACGTAGTTATTTGATGTGCACAGTGTTCTACGGATGTGCCTCCACAGCGTGTTTCTGTTGTGTATTACCAAATTTGTAGCATGCAACATGACTGTCATGCCAGCCCCACACTGTCAGATGGTATTGCATGGCATGTGCTGTCATTAACTATCTAACACAGTCCGTGCATGGATAGGAAACATTTACTGCTGACTCAGTTACTAATTTTCTTAAGCACCGTCACTTATGCCTTGGCAATTCAATGAGAATCTGTAGGTATAGGTTGGTCATTTGGTTTTAAAACTCAGTGTTGAAATTAGCTGATAGTGTTATGAGTTTGTGTTATGATCATACTGTTATGTGATCAGGTTTGTGTGTTGTTTAACGCCGCACTCAGCAATATTCCAGCTACATGACGGTGGTCCGAAAATAATCAAGTCTGAACCAGACAATCCGGTGATTGACATCATGAGCATCGATCTTTGCAATTAGGATATGATAACATGCATCAACCAAGTCAGCGAGTCTGACCACCTGATCCCGTTGATCGCCTCTTACGATAAGCAGAATGACCTTTGACAGCAAGCATGGGTTGCTGAAGACCTATTCTAACCCGGATCTTCACAGGAATATGCTATCAAGATAGGTCATAGTGTTATTATGAGTTCATAGTGTTACAATGAGGTCATGTTGAAGTAGTAAATTGCTAAAAGCAGAGTAAAACCATCTTCATTGTGTTATGATGAGATGATGATAAGATCATGGTGAGACTATTGTGTTATGATAAAGTAATGTTATTATTAGACCTTGGTCTTTTGATGCCATTGTGATGTGGTCATAGTCTAATCATTGTGCTGTTGTGATCATAGAGACATTATGGTGTTATTGTGAGGTCATGGTGCAATTCAGTGTGTTGTGATGAGATCAGTGTTATCACTTAAGCATGGAGTTATTGTGATGAGATTTTAGTGAGATTATGGTGTTATAAGGTCATGCTATGAGATCATAGTGTTTTCACTTTATCATCGTGTTATCATGGTGCAGTCATTGTGTAATCATAGTTCAGGAAAGAATTGAGTAACTACAAGAACTCTTGCAAATTCAGTAGCTCTCAGAACCTGACATTGGTGACATTAGCGCTTCAGGTTCAAGCATTTGGTTAACATAAAATTCTGCATTTGAGCATGTTTGTAATCTGAAAACCGGTTCTTTTGTTCATCAGTAAACATGGAATAGACCATGGTCGAACAGGAATATACCTGCCTGGTAGTCCTTGTTAATATGCATCGTTTATACAGTATTCAACTCGGTACCAGGGATTCGGGGTTGGAAATAGTCCCCACCAAACTTTGCTGTTTGTTTGTTTCAGTTATATGACTGCGGTCTGTAAATAATTGAGTCTGGACCAGACAACCTAGGGATTGACATCAAGAGCATCAATCTATGCATGCGTTAACCAAAACAGCTAGTTTGACCACTTGCTTCCATTCATTGCCTCTTAGAACAAGCATCTGTTACTGAGCAACTGACCGCCTCCGTGGTCAAGTGATAGAGCGTCTGCCCGGAGAGTGGAAGGTCCGGGGTTCGATCCCCGACCGCGTCATACCAAAAGACGTTAAAAGATGGTACTTGTTGTTACCCTGTCTGGCGCTCGGAGTCAGTATACTGTGTCTGAGTGGGGTATTCATGTTTAAAAGCGGCATGGTATCTCAGTGAGCTAGCACTATAAATCGGCATCAGCCCGGACTAGTACAAGCAGCCACACACACACACACACGTGCATGCACGTCGCTATATATATGTCAATCACAGGTTTGTCTGTCCCAAACTCGATTACAATGTATTTCAATGCTAGTATCATTGCTGGAATATTGCTGAGGGTGATGTTAACTGACCCAAACAAATACCTCAATACTAATGTGAAGCATACTTTGGAATGTAGAAGGCATGAATGTAGGACACTAAACGCTATGGCCAGTTTCCTGAGTCAGCAGTATTTTTTCCAAGGCATGCTTTAACAAGCAAGACAGTATGAGCATGATGTAGTGTGCACCCAGAGGAACCAGAGTGTGTTGCAGGAGAAGTCATTTCATTATTTGTGATTTCTGTTCTTGCCACCCTTTTAAGCACAGCACACTTCCAGAGGGAGCGACCTGCAGCAATCGCGGTGACATTCTAGTTAACATCATCTCTGAAAAGTAGTTTCACAATATCCGTGGGCCCCGTCATCGATTATGAAGTCCAAAACATTGTCTCTCAGACGATGATGAAACAGAAGCTTATCAGTCTTTGTCTTTATGACAGCAGGGCAATATAGGATGGCTGATTTAACATCAGTGGTACCGGTAATAGAAACCGAAAATTGAATTAGTATATTTTTTTATCATGACAATATTTTGATTTCCTCAACATGCTCAAGAGCTATCACTTTCGTTAACTATGCAGTTTTTATTCTTAATGAACAAAACTTTATGTTAATGTCTAGGGCCTGTTTACATGAAGAAAATGTCATGCGGCTCTTGAGGAGTTCCAAACACCATTGTGAAAATATTGTTTGTGGAACAGGCCACTGAAGGTTATCATTTGCCTTGTTAAAGCAGTTAATAATAATAATGATAATAATAACTAATAACTAAAGTGTCCATTAAAGGATTCCATACGAAGATAATTGCAAACTATATTGCTCTGCTGTCAGTTTAGTCAAGGGCTAGTGCGACTTGGTGAGGCAGCTTGCAGCAGTGTGATAATATATAACCAGCTATACTAGCCAGTTAACCTAATCCCCGAAACTCCCATCCAATCTGATGCCAAACATAACCCAAACCAGAGGACAAGTGCGCCACTACATGCACTGTATAATCAGCTTGCTTGTCATCAAGTGCAAGGATGCCAAGTTGTCAGTGGCTAGAACACCTGTTGAATAGTACACCATGTCACAGCCCACACTGTGTAGACCCATCACCCTGCCTCCTTGCCCTGTCTGTAAACCTTACCCCTTTTCCATTTGTGTCCGGCTAGACTTGATAATCAGATGTTCAGGAGATGCCGTCAGTTCGCAAAGGACCTCTGTGAAGCCCCTGTTAACTGGCATGAAAAATCATCCAAGAAGGCAGGCGAAGTACTTGCCTGTCTGTACCGCCACCTACGGAAACCTAGACAAGAAGAAAAGAAGGTTTGGAACCCTCACAAGGCTTTTCTGTAGCACAGACAATACTTAAGTTGGGGAGATTTCAGGTGGAATTTGTTCTTTGATTCAGAAACACGAAAAGTAAAATATGCCTGGAAAAAAGTTCAGCATCACTTACTATTTTATATACATAAAACAGCCATGTTTTGGAATCCTATGCTGTATTACGTTTCTAATAAAACACATATATTTACTTTCCAAAGTGATATGCCGGTAATCATATTGAAAAAATTGAATTGGTATTCTGATATGTTTTTTGACTGCTCCATGGCAGTAGTTACCATGGTTACTGACAACCGTTTCAAATGCTTTTTCTGTTTCTATGTGATATGATATGTCTTTGCAACCATCTGGTGAAACAAAGTGTTTTTGTACTGTTCATCAGTTGTCGACATCTTTAGACATTTACCAAAATGAGATGAATGTGATATGTAGATACTTGCAAATGATACAACAAAGTTACAACAAAGTTACAATCAAGGCGCTGTGATGCTTAGCTTTTTCCAGGTGTATAGATCTCATTTCACTTTTTTGGGGGTAGATTTTCTGATTTAATAAATTTGTGTTTATCACCAAGATCACATAAGTACTGAAACAAATCTGTCTAGAAAACATTCTTTATATGATTCATAATAGGGACAATTTCCCTGATATAGTTTTAAGCGTGACATGTTTAGGAAGACTTAAGTATATTCTGTGTGACCTTTGTGCCCGACCCTCACCTTGCAAAGATTTTATGGTGTGGGAACCGACAGTTTCTGCACTCGGCATCAAACTGTGTGGTTTTCTTCTTTGGTAGAAGGAGTTGATGAGGAAACAGCTCCTGTCACTAATACATTCATTTGCTTTCTAGTCCAAGAGGTGTCAAATTTATAACAATATTTTCAATCTTGAGTCACATTGTTCAGTATTGTGATAAAACTTGATAGCTCCGTATGTGTCTACTTAGAGATATGGAGTGAAACTGAAACGTATTTTCAAGTTAATCAAACTTTCTTGCATTTGAATCCAAATTGATTTTTCCTGCAAAAGGGACTGGCCATTTCCTATTTGTAGGGGGGGGTCCTGAGATATTTGTTCAGGATAGAATATTTTCGTTGGTCATTGCTTCAAGACAGTTTGTTTTTTCTTTGAAATGAGCCGAACGAATATTTTTTCAGGAACTCAAAAATTGTTTGCATTGTGAAACACTGTAAAACTGGGAGCCTCGACAACATCGATCCAGCTTCTGCCTTCCTTGGATTGTAGATAGACTACAGCTAAAGTGTAGTACTTTCAACGGATGACCAGCTATCATGTTTTATTGTACACAACGCAGGTTCCTCTGCTACCATGCTGCTTCCCAGGCCCATCCTGTCTAATGTCCCTACTATTCTGCCCGAGGCCTTTGCTACTTTCCGACGTTTACGAGATTGACTTCAATCTCGTCAGTCCAACTTACTGGCGATACAGGCACTCATGGGTTGTCTTCTACCATGTGGGTCCTGATTTGGATGGTGATATTGCTACTCTCTGCCCCAAGTGCTCTGCTATTACTTCGCCTATGGAGGATCGCAATCTCGCGCACATCTCCAGGTATCATTGGACCTACTTCGTCTTCAGAAGTAGCACCTGCAACTAAAGAGTGAGCAACGTCGACTGCAATTCAACCTTCATGAGGTTATTGGAGCAAAACTAGTTCTTTTTCATAGCCAAGGTCTTGGTCGTCAAGAACAACGTGGTTACCTCCATCGTGCGTTCCGTCTTGTTCACTGCTTCCAAGGGCATCAGCCAAGCCAGGCGACTCATCCTCTAAGTGACTCACATCAGCTAGGGGATGACTGGGAACTTCTGCCCCAAGCCGTACCCTAGAAGAAGCTCCAGTAGGTGTAAGACAAAGTCTTTTTGCAGTGAACTGGTCCATCCTGGCCAACCCTTTTGTTATGTTTATCCTGCAAAATGGATACCGGCTGCACATTCGAGGTATTGACATTGAGCCGTACATTGGCGTTTGTTTCCAGGCCCATGCAGATCCAGACATCCTTCTGTGACATCCAGAGTTTACAAAGCAGCTTCTTCATCAGCTAGGCTGGCTCATCAGCTTTGCTCCCACTCAACGGCTCCAGTTCATTGGTGCTCTATTTGACACCAGATAGGGCATGATGTTCGTTCCTCCAGACAGGTGGTTCAAGATATAACATTTAGTGCTGCTGGCACTCAGACAGCCTCTTCCACTTAATGGCAATAGCTGCTAGGTCTTCTGACGTCGGCACAAGCACTCACTCAAATAGGTCAACTTCGTCCAATCCAGTGCTTCCTGAAGCCCTACCTCAAGAGCGATAATTGCTAGGTCTAGACACAGTACCTTTTCATTGACGCATCGTCCATGGGCTGGGGAGTGCACTTCAATGATCTACGGTTGGCAGGGCACTGGTCCATCGAAGAAAAGACTCAATATCAACAACCTTGAATTCAAGTCGGTTATTCCAGCGGTGTCACACTGGGCAGAGCTCCTTCATGAGAGACACCTCATGATCCAGTTGAACAATCTATCAGTCAACTTATGTATTAATAAGATTGGCTCCACCAAATCATTGTTGCGCTTGTCACGGATGATTGAATTCTTCCGGTTGATCAACACCCTGAACAACGATATCATAGCGACTCCCTGTCCTGACCCATGCCCAGATGTTGACCTCTTCGCAACCAGGTTCAGTGCTCAGCTACCATGGATTGACACTCCAATTCCAGACCCTCAGGCATGGGACCATGACGCTCTGGCCACTCTACCTCGGGTCATTCAGAAAGTGGTATACGCCAACCAATTTCAACTGCTTTTGGTTGTGCCCTATTGGCCAACGCGAGGTTAGTTCACAAAGCTGGTACAGATTGCGGGACAATCTTCTACTCCAGCCTCACTCCCACCTACTGCACCCATCGCCCAAAACCCATCTTTGCACTGGGCTCATCTCCAGAAGTCACTTGTCGCCAAAGGGTGTTCGAAGAGTGTAGCCAAGACCATCACTGAGGCTCACCATTCCTCCACTAAGATCTTATATGACCATAAATGAAAAGGTTCGAAGCCTACTGCCGAGCTCGACATGTCACCAAGCCAACCACTGCTTCTCCTCAACAAATCTGAGATCTACTTAGATGATTAAAGGACCCACTTTGGCTGCATATCTTGCTGCGATCAACACTGTGTCATTGCCTCTACAACTGGACCGATGATCTCCACGGTTGCTGAGCTACAGTCCCTCATTCGGTCCTTCAAGTTGGCTGATGGGTCCCCTCACTTGGGATCTTAACCTCATCCCCTGCCATTTGACTTCTGCAGAGTTTGAACCACTTGCTTCAAGGGACTTCAAGTTGATCACCCTTAAGACAGTTTTCCTCCTGGCCCTTGCCACAGCTGCTAGAGTGAGTGAGATCCACACTCTTTCTGATATTAAGGTCTAGTTTGAGAGAATGCAGAATGTGAAGGTCTTTCTGGGCCTTCACTGGGACTTCATTGCGAAGAATCATCTTCCGGGACAGCCAGCATCTATCCTGAACCCAGATGACCATGAAGACATGTCTTTATGCTCCGTATCTATCTCGAGACTGTGATGCCACTTCAAAAGACTCTTCATCCCACTTTCCACGATGGCCACAATGGAAGTCTCCCATACAACAATGTCTATTTGTCTTCTCTTGACTATCCTTCGGGCCTACGCCTTCACTGGATTGCCTCCTCCTTTGACAGCAAATCCACATGAAACTCAAGCCGTCACCTCTACCATGGCCTTGCACAGCATTTGTACCCGGTCCATTATTATGGAGGGATGTTGTGGAAGTCCTAAACTGTCTTCGCTTCCCATTATTTATGTGACATCTCCGTAAACGACGTTCAGGGCTTCCACCAGTTTGGTCCAAAGGTGGGATAAATGCATAGTGTTAAATAGGATAAGTTACATTTCACATTAAATTGTGCATTTCTGTACTTATCGATCTCACACACTATTTGTCCACCCAACCACCCCCACACCACGGCTCTTCTAGCATGTCAGCTCTAAGAAAGAGGATGATGTGGTAGGGGTAGTCAGGTGATCAAGTCATGTAAGCTCACAATACACGAGATTACTGTTTGTGACCCGTTTGCTTGGGTGGTGACCGTGATGATGCGGGATGTGTTCGGGTGAATTGTTTTTTAGAAGCTGGAAACTTTGTTCAAGTGTGTTTCCACATAAAATGAAAAGAAGAAAGAAGAAATGCATAGTGTGAGATAGGATAAGTGTAAAAATATACAAATTTACAATTTTCTTTGAATATCACAGGCCTTCCTCTACCCCCAGAATATCAAATGGCTGGTCCCTTACACTCATCGGGAAATAAAAGACTTGCCTGAAATGTTTCACCGAGTGACATTTTGGCTCTACTAGAAGAGTTTGAAAAATCTTCTATTTGATAGTTCCCTTGTATGTTATTGTTTTTCGGTTCATAAAATATGTACACTATGAGATTTATTTATGATGTTTTGATTTCTGAGGATCAATTTGACACTTCATGTTCATAGTGTAGTATGATTAGAAGTTTGTTTTTTCTTCAGAGTTTATCCGATGTGGGCCGGAATCTCTGGAACTCTGTAGACGAGATTCACTCTGGATGGTTTCTCAGCCCTTCATTTGTAGCATCTCTATAGATTAGACCCTGTGTTTGTAGTGGTCTTTAGATGTATCTGTATTTTGCCTTGTTTGTAGTGTTGATAGTTAATTGATTGTGAATATTGATGGCACATACATGTAATGTAACCGTTTTGTGCTTTTTGTAGAGAGTTTGAATATGTATCTAGAAAGTATGTTAGAGAATTGTAGATGGTTATTTTTCACAGTATAACGAATGAAAAGCATCATTTATACAAGTTGAGATTAACCTTAATTATTGATAACCTGCTCAAATCAGACCTTTCACCTCCAACTTAGTCAACAACTGGATCTTGTATCCAGGGGTCATGTTTGTGTATTTTTGTTATTATCTTGGGATAAGAAAACAATGAATTGTCTGGTAATAACATGAACAATGACTTGGAACAATTATTAAAAGTGCCTGCCTACTATTAACACAGGAATGTTCTAATGATTCGTGAGGGCTAGAAAAGCAAGAACTGTAATAGTTTTACATTTTGAATCCTGGTGTTAAAACAAGTGTTGTTGACTGCAAGGTGACAGGTCTGATGGTATGACTAGTTCCTGTGGACTGGCAAGTATTGCAGTGTTGTGTTGGCTGTGGCAGGTATCACGGGCCTGCAAGCAGGAGATCAAGAGGGTGATGAAGTCCTATGCTCTCAGTGTGGAGCTCAACCCCGAGGTACAGGCCAAGTGCCTGTCTGACCTGGGCAACTTCTGCTCCAACAACAAGGGGGACACAGCTGTGGGGGCGGTAGGTAGTCTCTAGACACTCCACCTTACTTTCTGAACAAGCTTCATCAAGTACTTAAATAAGCCTAAAATGATTGAGATGATTGGTTGATAGTGCTGATTACTGATGCTGATGATGCAGTTTGTTACAGGACTCTGTTTGTTGACTAAGGTGTGTTCATTGTTTGTGTGACTCTTTAGGAAATGGAGTGCCTGCAGAACAACTATGACGATTTGAGTGAGGGCTGCCAAAAGGTGATCGGGGAACTGGTGGAGGATGAGGATGAAGATATTGAGCTTGACCACATCCTCATGAAGTCCTGTACACCCATGATCAAGAGGTTCTGTAATGTAAGTGTTATTAATCCAGAGGTTCTGTAATGTAAGTGGCCATGATCAAGAGGTCCTGTAATGTAAGTGGCCATGATCAAGAGCTTCTGAAATGTAAGTGGCCATGATCAAGAGGTCCTGTAATGTAAGTGGCCATCATCAAGAGCTTCTGAAATGTAAGTGGCCATGATCAAGAGGCTCTGTGTCATTAATCAAGAGGTTCTGTAATGTAATGTGTCATTAATCAAGAGCTTCTGTAATGTAAGTGTCATTAATCAAGATCTTCTGTAATGTAAGTGTCATTAATCAAGAGGTTCTGTAATGTAAGTGCCCATGATGAAGAACTTCTGTAATGTAAGTGGCCATCATCAAGAGGTTCTGTAATGTAAGTGTCATTAATCAAGAGATTCTGTAATGTAAGTGGCCATGATCAAGAGTTTCTGTAATGTAAGTGTCATTAATCAAGAGATTCTGTAATGTAAGTGGCCATGATCAAGAGCTTCTGTAATGTAAGTGGCCATGATCAAGAGTTTCTGTAATGTAAGTGTCATTAATCAAGAACTTCTGTAATGTAAGTGGCCATGATCAAGAGCTTCTGTAATGTAAGTGGCCATGATCAAGAGGTTCTGTAATGTAAGTGTCATTAATCAAGAGATTCTGTAATGTAAGTGGCCATGATCAAGAGGTTCTGTAATGTAAGTGTCATTAATCAAGAGATTCTGTAATGTAAGTGGCCATGATCAAGAGCTTCTGTAATGTAAGTGGCCATGATCAAGAGTTTCTGTAATGTAAGTGTCATTAATCCAGAGGTTCTGTAATGTAAGTGGCCATGATCAAGAGGTTCTGTAATGTAAGTGTCATTAATCAAGAGATTCTGTAATGTAAGTGGCCATGATCAAGAGCTTCTGTAATGTAAGTGGCCATGATCAAGAGTTTCTGTAATGTAAGTGTCATTAATCCAGAGGTTCTGTAATGTAAGTGGCCATGATCAAGAGCTTCTGTAATGTAAGTGGCCATGATCAAGAGTTTCTGTAATGTAAGTGGCTGTCATCAAGAGATTCTGTAATGTAATTGGCCATCATCAAGAGCTTCTGTAATGTAAGTGTCATTAATCAAGATCTTCTGTAATGTAAGTGTCATTAATCAAGAGGTTCTGTAATGTAAGTGGCCATGATGAAGAACTTCTGTAATGTAAGTGGCCATGATCAAGAGTTTCTGTAATGTAAGTGTCATTAATCCAGAGTTTCTGTAATGTAAGTGGCCTTCATCAAGAGATTCTGTAATGTAAGTGGCCATGATCAAGAGGTTCTGTAATGTAAGTGGCCATGATCAAGAGGTCCTGTAATGTAAGTGGCCATGATCAAGAGCTTCTGTAATGTAGGTTTCCATGATCAAGAGCTTCTGTAATCTAAGTGGCCATGATGAAGAGGTTCTGTAATGTAAGTGGCCATGATGAAGAACTTCTGTAATGTAAGTGGCCATGATCAAGAGGTTCTGTAATGTAAGTGGCCATGATCAAGAGGTTCTGTAATGTAATGTGTCATTAATCCAGAGGTTCTGTAATGTAAGTGGCCATGATCAAGAGGTTCTGTAATGTAAGTGGCCATGATGAAGAACTTCTGTAATGTAAGTGGCCATGATGAAGAACTTCTGTAATGTAAGTGGCCATGATCAAGAGGTTCTGTAATGTAAGTGTCATTAATCAAGAGTTTCTGTAATGTAAGTGGCCTTCATCAAGAGATTCTGTAATGTAAGTGGCCATGATCAAGAGGTTCTGTAATGTAAGTGGCCATGATCAAGAGGTCCTGTAATGTAAGTGGCCATGATCAAGAGCTTCTGTAATGTAGGTTTCCATGATGAAGAGGGTCTGTAATCTAAGTGGCCATCATCAAGAGGTTCTGTAATGTAAGTGGCCATGATGAAGAACTTCTGTAATGTAAGTGGCCATGATCAAGAGGTTCTGTAATGTAAGTGACCATGATCAAGAGGTTCTGTAATGTAAGTGGCCATGATCAAGAGCTTCTGTAATGTAAGTGGCCATGATGAAGAGCTTCTGTAATGTAAGTGGCCATGATCAAGAGGTTCTGTAATGTAAGTGGCCATGATGAAGAGCTTCTGTAATGTAAGTGGCCATCATCAAGAGGTTCTGTAATGTAAGTGGCTATGATCAAGAGCTTCTGTAATGTAAGTGGCCATCATCAAGAGGTTCTGTAATGTAGGTGCCATTGATCAAGAGGTTGTGTGATGTAAGTGTCCATCACTAAGAGGTTCAGCACTATAAGAATGGGTTCCCAGAATGCTATGCTTGTCCAGAGTGGTAACTATTGAGGATCTGATGTCGACCTGGCTGTTTGTGTGTCATTGTACCCTGATGTCATGGATCGTTGCTCACACAGTCAACCACTGGGTTGCCTGTTCCAGACTCAATTATTCACAGACCGCTGTGACATGTCATGTAAAACTTGAAAGCAATCAGTCAGTTTGTTGAAAATGAGCTGATCTAAGGGCCCGAATGTCTGACGGAAACACTGCTGACAGGTTTCATTTCTCGTTGCAGGAGCTGCTGGACAGTGATGCTGATCCCGGGGATGTCCTAGAGTGTCTCATTGAACACAAGAACAACCATGACATGGACTCCAAGTGTGCTGCAGGAGTGGAGCATCACCAGCTGGTCAGTTCACTTTCCTTGTCCTTAAGCTGCAGGAGATACATGTACTACGCGTTGGGATCCTGGGCAATCTACACATGTTGTAAGAGGCAACTGGATCGGGTGTTGAATATCAGTGACTTGGTTGATGGTGTCTGAATGACACAATGCTAAGTTTACTCTCAAAGCAAAATTATCAAATGAGTGAAAGGAAAATTGTGTGAACTTCATGATGAGAGAGATAAAGATTGTGATGTCATCTGAAATGAAGCTATGGTAACAAATGGGTTCAGGGAGACATCATAATAATTGAGTATAATGCGTGTCAACTCATTCCCTCCACATAAGTCTGATATGGACATCCCTTCACACAGGCTGCAACCAAATCCACTAATCTGAAGCTAGTGTCTAGTAAAATTATCTTTGGTTCATTGAGCTTGGATTGAAATAGTCCAATTAAAATAAACTGAAAATGATCCTAAGAGTAAACTCAAAAGTTTTTGGCCAACTTCAGATTAGAGTTACTTCCCTTTGGTTTGAGTAGTTACAAGCTCCTCACAGCGATAGCCCTTTCGCGGAGCTCTCTATACCATCGCTGCCACCAGTCATAACTCCCCACTGTGATAGGTGGCCACAACCATGCTTGGAGTTGAACTCGCAACCAAATGACGGTTATGTTTACAAACAAGTGACGACTGTCGTGACTCCGAATACACTTATCGCTGCTAAATTACTTTCTTTGTTTGTCAATTTGAATTTCTGTTTCATTAAAACTATCGTGTTATTGATATAGTAAGAATTTAAGGGTGAAGTTAGTTGATTTTCCCGTTAGTCTGCAATCACTTATACCCCTATATACCCCTATATGTTATATGTGTATGTTCTATATTCGCATTGCTCGTTTATTTTCTTGTGAAAATACTCGTTTGTGACTATTTGTGATGCGTGTGTTGTAACCATGTTTTGCTCTTTGTTCATAGTACAAACAAAATGTCTGACATGGATGTTTCACCGTCCTCCACCCCCTCTACCCCCGCAACCAGGAGCTGCGGGGTGTGCCGCAAGCGAGCGCTACCGGCTGTATGTGCAGTCCGTTTCCACCCCTGTGGTGGCCGGCTCGTCCGGTCGGGGTCCCCCTGCGGGTACCACCACCACGGCTGCGGCGGATCCCTTGGCGGCCCGTGGGCTGTCCGGGGATTCCGTCGCTGCATTACTTGCATAACTTGTGGACTCCAAGCTGGCGGCCTTATCTCAGGATAGGCCGCTTTGGTGGCCGCGGGGTCCACCGGTACGGCGGCGGCTCCCGTGGTCACCGGTCCTTCCCCCGAACCGTTGCTCCCGCTATCGGTTAAGGACCGCGTGGCCATGGTTTATGACCTCTTTGAGGACATGCCCCGGCCGGTACCGCGGGGAATCCACGACTGTGGGTTCCTCCGAGGTATACGATGAATCTTCCGACTCGGCTTTCCCCGCATCAACCTTGCTGCGCGGTATCAAGCCTTCCTTGGAGAACGCCTTCGCGGCGACCTCCGGTCGGGGTCTCCCGTTGCCTCCGACGTCGTGGAGAAAGGGTTTATTCCCGGTACATGACCTTGCCTTTCCCGAGGCTGGTCCTACCGCGGAGGCCTATGTTGAGCGGTTGGGTGTCCGTGCCCCACCGGCTGCTACGGTAACGCAAGCTACCTTGCACCAGCTGGACGCCCTCGCTCGGCACTCCATGTCTCACGGAGACACTTACTTGGCTGCAGCGGCCAGTCTGGTCGCTGGTTCTCCCACGGACCGTGACCAGCGCATTTACAACTGCCTGCTCAGTTTAAATGCTTCCCTGGAGTACGTTGCCGAGGACTCTCGGCACACACTTGCTCTTGTTGGGTCCCTGCATAGGCGCCTGGGTGCCGCTCCTAACCGGAGCGCGCCCCAGGCTGCTGCGGCCGGTAGGTCTAAGGGGTCGGGTTCTTCTTCCTCTGGGAAGTAGCCCCGCCCTGAGGGCTCTGGTATGGGCAATCAGCTGCCCTTTCGCGGGAAGACGGGGAACTGGGGGAAGCCCAAGTCGTCTAAGGACGGCAAGGGCCCCTCCAGGTGACTCTCATTGGAGGGGTTCGTATGCCGACAGCGCCAACTTCGGTTGGCCCTTAGGCGAACCCGAGTCACTTGGCCCTGGACAGTTGCGCCTGCCGCAGCCTGTCAGGGCCCCCTCTCCTTCCCCAGTGGGAGCCAGACTCCAGACTTACTGGGAGAATTGGGAACAAGTGTTCGACGACCCGTGGGTGGTCAACACGATTCGGTACGGCTATCGGCTTGATCTCAAAGCGAATCCGCCGCTCACCGTTGCCCCGTTGGCAGGTTTCGATTCGGAAACCGATCTTCCCATCCTCGCCGATGCCATCGGCAGGTTGGTGGAGAAGGGGCAGTACGGGAGTTAGCTCTACCAGAAATAACACCGGGGTTTTACTCCAGGATATTTCTCGTTCCCAAGTAGGACAGTGCCGAACTCAGAATGTTTCACACGTCCGCTCCCTGGCTGTTCACCCGGTTAACCACCCCCATAGTGGAGTTCCTCCACAGGAGGGGTGTCCGGTACTTCGCGTACCTGGACGACTCGCTAGTAGCAAATCGAATGACGGACGCCCTGTCACGCCATCTCGTTTTCGCACGTCGGCTCTTGGAGCAATTGGGGTGGATTATCAATCTCCCCAAGAGCGAGTTAACCCCTTCTCAGAACTTGCTGTTCATTGGAGGTCGGTTCAACACGGTGTCCCATCGCCTCTTTGTCCCCCCAGACCGGGGGCACAAGATTCAGGCGATGATTGCCAAAGTCTTAGCGGTGCAACAGACTGTTCACTTTTGGGATCAGCTGTTAGGGCTACTTGTATCAGCCCAGGACTTCACCGAACGGGGTCGTCTCCAACTCCGCCCGCTGCAACGGTTTTTAATCCAGTTGTTAGCAACGGAGGTGAACAGTGCGACCGTCGCCCTCCTGATCTAAGATTAAGCTCACGCGGATACAGTGTTCTCATCCGCTGCGGCGATGAAATACCTATCCAGTGGGGATCGGCTCCGACCGCATCTGGAGTGGTGGACGGTCCCTTACAATGTCTTATCAGGAGTCTCTATGCGGCCCTACCGGGCCACGTTGAACCTGTATACAGACGCCTCTCTAGTGGGCTGGGGCGCCCATCTAGAGGGGGAGGTGAGCTCGGGGCTGTGGTGCGTAGACGAACTAGGTCTTCACATCAATTGTCTCGAGTTCAAGGCAGTGATCAACGCAGTCAATCACTGGAAGCATCGTCTTGTCGACGCCCGGCTCATGCTGGCGACCGACAACACGACGGTAGTGTCCTATGTGAACAAACTGGGGGGAACCCACAGTCACTCGCTACTCGATCTCAAGTTCGAGTTTTACGCTCTGGTGGACAGTGTCCCGTGCCAGATACGCGCCCGTCACATCCCAGGTGTGCGGAACGTACTGGCCGATGCTCTATCGAGGCCTCAGGATCCGAGCCCCACAGAGTGGATGCTGAACCCAGTAGTGTTTCAGTGGCTGTGCGAACGTTTGGGTCGTCCGATGGTCGCAACGCGGTTCGACAATCAACTCCCGTTGTTTGTATCACCAGTCCCGGACCCGAGGGCCATCGATCACGATGCTCTCGCGTTAGACTGGACGGGCTTGGACGCTTATGCTTACCCGCCGACAGCGTTGATACCACACATTCTAAGCCGGCTCCGAGGAGTTCGCTGTCGAATTTTACTGATCGCGCCCATGTGGCCGAACAGATCGTGGTACCCCGACTTGCTGACCCAGGTCACGCAGTCGCCACTTCCACTGCCTGTGAGACCGGATCTCTTGATCCACCCTCACACCCGTCAGCTTCATCCAAACGCAGGGCAGTTCCATCTGCACGTGTGGATGTTGTCACCGAGCGTCTGAGGAGAAAAGGTTTTTCTCGCCGGGCGTCTCGGGCATACGTTAGTATGCATCGTGATTCTACCCAGAAGGTGTATAATGCACGTTGGGTTATTTTCACGAAGTGGTGTTGTAAACATCACATTCATTCGCCAGATAAGGTATCTGTGCAGGATATTGCTCGTTTCATGTCTCACTTGCGAGAGACCCGGAAACTCTCCGGGGGTTCCATTGCCAACTATGTCTCGTCCGTTGCTACGGTACGGGACGTTGCTATGGGTACCAGTCTCTCCAAAGAGCCGGTGATACGGGGTATTATCAAGGGTTTCAAACAGCACGATCTTAAGAAGGGCCGCCTTCGGGCACCGGCCTGGGATCTTTCCCTAGTGTTGCAATCACTTACGGAAGCTCCGTATGAACCCTTGCATAGTGCTTCGTTCCGGCATGTGACTTGGAAAACAGCATTTCTCCTCTCCTTTGCCACGGCGGCACGTGTATCCGAAATTCATCCACTCGATGTCGCCAAGGTACGATTCGATAGGGGTGACGAAGGAGCGGTCCGCCTGGGCCTGCTCATGGGCTTCTTCGCCAAGAATCAGAGAGTCGGGCAAACGGAGAGAGAATTCACTGTAAGATCACTCAAAGAAATCTTACATCCTGCTGATACTGAGGACAGAGCGCTGTGTCCGGTTAGGGCCCTTAAGTATTATCTTATATTGTACATGGTACAATGTCTGAAGCCCATCCCTGGTGTCCCCTGCTGTGATATTGCTGGAATCTTGCTGACAGTGGTGTCAAAGCCTACTCACTAACCCAATGTATCCCAGATAATGTGTAACCTGTTTTGTTCCACACATTGAGGAATGTCCACTGTTTTACAGATCACACAGAAGGAATTCAAGTTCAATCACAAGTTCAAGGAGGCTTGTCAAAAAGCTGTGACAAAGTTCTGCCCCTACAAGAAAACAAAGTAAGTAGAGCATGGTTCAAGCAGGCCATGAAGCAGTCTTGCTTTGATACAGTATAGTTCCTAGTGAGTTATGGGTGTCAGGTTAGTGGTGTCATGTTGCTGACGGTCTGGCCTCCATTGCTCACAGGGTAACAATGCAGTAGACACATTTCTATCATAATAGTAAGGGAAAATTTCAGAAAGTACTCCCACTCACCTTTTTGTTTAGTCGTGTGGATTGCGGTAAGAATAAGAGCCCCAAGCCACCTGTTTGTCGTGAGGTGACTTAATCAATCTGATGGTCAGGCACGGTGACTTGGATGAAAGCATTATATCTCAGTTGCGTGGATTGATGCTCATGAATTCAATCAATGGACAATCCGGTCCAGACTGGATTATTTCCAGTCTCGCCATATAGCTGGAATATTGCTGAGTGCAGCATTAAGAAAAAAAACCAGGTCCAACAAGCCTTCATTGCATAAAGATGACCATGACAAATTATGTGGCAATGTATATTTGACATAATCCTTGACTTGTGAAGCATTTCAATTTGTAGTTTGATATTACTCCAGTATCACAGCAGGTTTGACCATGTTAATGCAAAAACAACTACTTAATATTTACCAGTTTCACGGGGCTGCAATATTTGACACTTTTTCTGATCAGATGCTGTTTCTATAACTTGAGGCTGCAGGGATATAGTAAAATAATGATGTTTGCAGCACAAAAAATTCTTTGATATATATTTACCTGATTGTCTTGATGTTTCTGTAGGTTGGAAGTCGTAACATGTCTCAGTGAACATGTTCGCAATGACACTTTGTTGGATAAGGATCAGAGAATAGAGAAGCCATGTCGACACCAGCTTCGCCTTCAGATCCTGCAAAGGGTGAGGACATAGCAGTAGTTGGCTTAGTAGGAGGCTAGTTCCAGATGGACCTATCAGGCTTGGATTTAGCTGTATAAAACGTGCACAAGTGCAACCCATTATTGAAAAATGTAACCTATCATTGCTTCTAGGTGTACTGTATATCTGCTGTCTATAAAGCCCCCCGACTGTAGAAGCCTTCAAAATCAATGGTATATCATTGCTTCCTGGTCTATATCATTTTTTTTACTCAACGGGCTATATGATTGCTTCTGGGGGTATATGATTGCTTCAAGGGCTATCTGATTGCTTCTAGGGCTATATGATTGCTTCTAGGGCTATATGATTGCTTCTAGGGCTAAATCATTGCTTCTAGGGCTAAATCATTGCTTCTAGGGCTATTTCATTGCTTCTAGGGCTATTTCATTGCTTCTAGGGCTATTTCATTGCTTCTAGGGCTAAATCATTGCTTCTAGGGCTACATCATTGCTTCTAGGGCTATATGATTGCTTCTAGGGCTATTTCATTGCTACTAGGGCTACATCATTGCTTTTGCTGTAACTCATGTGCATGCCTGGTCCAGACTTGATGATTGATACATGCACACATTAGTTCATTGAACTTAAAAATGTGACAGATGATGACTATATGATTCTCCAAATTATTATTTTGGCTTATTGTCGTGATTGTTTGGTTGTCCTCAGGGAGAGAGTATCGCTCTCGATCCAGAACTGCAGGGTAAATGCAAGGACGATATCCGCGATCATTGTGCTAATGTTGCACCTGGAAATTCTGCAGTAAGTATCTATACCTCTTTGTATTAACAACTTAAACAGGGAACATAACATGGCTTTTAGGAGAGAAAAAAAAAGTTTCTATGATGTGAATCTGTAATTGACGAAAAAACGTAATATTGAACCCTCTGGGTGATTTTGTGATTTTTGTACTTACAACATGTAAAGCAAGAATATTTGTTCCTTTATTCCTCACATCGTGATTAATATGTACCAGTAGAGTATTGTACATCATAGTCATGTATCATTCAGTTCATGAGACACGATGGATGTGTAGATGACTCAAATTTAACTGCGCATTGTTTCAGGTTATGGAATGTTTGAAGAAAAGACAGGCCCACTTGAGTCAACCTTGCCACAGACTACTCTTCAAGAGAGAGGTAGGCCTATGTCCCACCTGATGTAGACTGTCCTGATTCCTCTCCCCAAGATCCCTCACGATTCTTACTGTTGCTGATAATCACACACAACTTGGCCTCTTCTGTAGCAGACCTGACTAGAGACGTCGCTACCCATCTGCACAAAGCTTTGATTCTGTAACCAGATTGGGAATGTTGATGTCACCATGCTACACTTGATTTTTTACACTTTAGGATTATGATAAAATATAGGAATTAATTTAGAGGTTCTCTTTTTAATGCTGAGCGAGTTTATCAGTAATTTTCTATAAATATTACAACATACCCTGTGTAATCTCATTTGACTTAAATAATTTATTCAGCATCCATACCGACCTTGAAGTAAATCATTGTTCTGTGACCTAAAGTAAACAGTTATTTTGTTCGTTCTTCAGAAAGATGAGTTTGCTATTGCTGACTATGGGCTGCTGTCTGCTTGCAAGAAGATGATCAAGGTTTGCTGAAAATACAAAGTTGTGACCAAGAGTCCCTGGACTTGAAGCTAGTAAAGGTGTTAAGACATTAAGGTGGCATGCCATGATATAAGTTAAATACTGTCCAAAGTGCTGGAAACAACTCACTAAGTCATTCACTATAGGCATACAAATTCAGGTAGTTTACAAGTTAATGGTCCACATGTTTTGTTTCAGGATTACTGTGATCCCGATGATGATCAGCCACAAATTCTTCGCTGTCTGAAAAAAGAAAAGAATAACCCTGACTTTGACGCCAAATGTAGATCAGTAGTGATCCGGAGAGAAATCATGCAGAGTAAAGGTGAGATGGCGTTTGTGGAGTGAACATTACCTAATATTGCTGACTGCAGCATTCAACAACTTTCATTGTCGGGTTCGGACTAGAGTACTTAAAGACCACCGTCATATAGCTGAAATATTGCTGAGTGTGGCAGTAAACAACAAACAGACAAAGACATGGAAACTTTCCCCACACAATGTCCCAATGTTTGTGTCTGTAGACTATCACCACACTATCTACCAATGTTTGTGTCTGTAGACTATCACCACACAATGTACCAATGTTTGTGTTTGTAGACTATCACCACACTATCTACCAATGTTTGTGTCTGTAGACTATCACCACACAATGTACCAATGTTTGTGTTTGTAGACTATCACCACACTATCTACCAATGTTTGTGTCTGTAGACTATCACCACACAATGTCCCAATGTTTGTGTCTGTAGACTATCACCACACTATCTACCAATGTTTGTGTCTGCAGACTATCACCACACAATGTCCCAATGTTTGTGTCTGTAGACTATCACCACACTATCTACCAATGTTTGTGTCTGCAGACTATCACCACACAATGTCCCAATGTTTGTGTCTGCAGACTATCGCGACACAATGTCCCAATGTTTGTGTCTGCAGACTATCACCACACAATGTCCCAATGTTTGTGTCTGCAGACTATCGCCACACAATGTCCCAATGTTTGTGTCTGCAGACTATCACCACACAATGTCCCAATGTTTGTGTCTGCAGACTATCACCACACAATGTCCCAATGTTTGTGTCTGCAGACTATTACGACACAATGTGCCAATGTTTGTGTCTGCAGACTATCACCACACAATGTCCCAATGTTTGTGTTTGTAGACTATCACCACACTATCTACCAATGTTTGTGTCTGTAGACTATCACCACACAATGTCCCAATGTTTGTGTCTGCAGACTATCGCGACACAATGTCCCAATGTTTGTGTCTGCAGACTATCACCACACAATGTCCCAATGTTTGTGTCTGCAGACTATCGCCACACAATGTCCCAATGTTTGTGTCTGCAGACTATCACCACACAATGTCCCAATGTTTGTGTCTGCAGACTATCACCACACAATGTCCCAATGTTTGTGTCTGCAGACTATTACGACACAATGTGCCAATGTTTGTGTCTGCAGACTATCACCACACAATGTCCCAATGTTTGTGTCTGTAGACTATTACGACACAATGTCCCAATGTTTGTGTCTGCAGACTATCACCACACAATGTCCCAATGTTTGTGTCTGCAGACTATCACCACACAATGTCCCAATGTTTGTGTCTGTAGACTATCACCACACAATGTCCCAATGTTTGTGTCTGTAGACTATCACCACACAATGTCCCAATGTTTGTGTCTGCAGACTATCACCACACAATGTCCCAATGTTTGTGTCTGTAGACTATCACCACACAATGTCCCAATGTTTGTGTCTGTAGACTATCACCACACAATGTCCCAATGTTTGTGTCTGCAGACTATCACCACACAATGTCCCAATGTTTGTGTCTGCAGACTATCACCAAACAATGTCCCAATGTTTGTGTCTGCAGACTATCACCACACAATGTCCCAATGTTTGTGTCTGTAGACTATCACCACACAATGTCCCAATGTTTGTATCTGTAGACTATCACCACACAATGTCCCAATGTTTGTGTCTGTAGACTATCACCACACAATGTCCCAATGTTTGTGTCTGTAGACTATCACCACACAATGTCCCAATGTTTGTGTCTGTAGACTATCACCACACAATGTCCCAATGTTTGTGTCTGCAGACTATCACCACACAATGTCCCAATGTTTGTGTCTGTAGACTATCACCACACAATGTCCCAATGTTTGTGTCTGTAGACTATCACCACACAATGTCCCAATGTTTGTGTCTGTAGACTATCGCCTGAACCCCTCCCTGAGGAAGTCCTGTCACCTGGACATTGGCAAGTTCTGTGCAGGGTTGGTGGATCAGCATAAGCAGGATGTGGAGCTTGAGGGCCTCGTCATCAGCTGCCTCAAGAAGCAGTACGCTGCCAAGGTAACCACCATATCATTAACGATACAGGGTTTGCACAGAAAAGTGCTTGAATTTAACCATGTCCGATGAAAAGTGCTTGATTCTGCCATGTTACCACCTAAGTGCTGGAATTTTAATGCGTTGCCTACTTCCTGTCGCTTACAACATGAAAGGAAAGACTGTCTATTATTGGTTATGTGCAATAATTCCTTTGTGCATTGTAATACTGAATATAGTTTAATATTATCATGAGCGACACTTGGAACACTAGACTGTTTCCCATTCCTGTGACAGGCAAAGCGGACTATCCAGGAAGTTGTCAAATTGTGTTTAAATCATGGGGAAGTGTGTTAACGCAAGGCATTGTGTTACTGTTGCGGGAATGGAATTTATATTGGTATATTGGGGAAAGTGTACAAACCAAGCAGTCATCACCAGAAAAACTGTCAGTCATAGTTGGGATTAAATTTACAGGATTTGGGTGTTTTAAAACGAGAAAAGAGTCCTTGAAAACAAATGTTTATCATTAAAAAGTGCTTGAATTTAAAGTCCAAAGATCTGTATGAACCTTGCTATATCAGTTCAGATAGAGACCATGCATTGGATATTTGGAAGTGGGTAGGGTGGGATTTTGTTGAAAGAAATGTTTTTCCAGAATAGTCTGGCAAACATGGTTGGTTCCTCATGGTTGTGTATTGTCTGAATCTCAGATTTTATACTGGGTCCATCAAATTTTGAAAATCAGTGGCATTTCTTCATTTTGAAAGGATTGTATTGCAGTTTTGAATATATAGTGAGAGCTCAAAATACAAGAGATTTGAATCTCAGAATTTGTAGTGATTTTTATACTTGTGTCCCATTTTGAAGCTCATTGCTCAGTCATATTATTCAATGCAATGCAATGTTTCAGAAATTGGAAATGAGATAATACTTGTATCTACTTATGTAATATTTCTACAGTTTATAACAGCATTATCTGATATTTAAGAAATGTGCAAAGAAAATATTAGTGAAAAAGTGCTTAAAATTCATGGTCCCTTTTCCACAAAGCAAAGAAAATATTAGTGAAAAGATTCATAGTGCTTAAAATTCTTGGTCCCTTTTCCACAAAGCAATCTTCGTGCAAAGACGATCCTACCTCCATACTGTTATACGATAGTCATGGCAGTATGATCGCTTTGTGGAACAGGGCACTGGGTCACATTCCACAGAACAATCTTGGTGCTAAGACTATCGTCAGCCTATGTTAGAGAATGGGAGATATGCCAAGATCACTTTGTGGGAAAGGGCACTGATAAATAATTATTTGCTGCGTTTTGTTCACTAATAATGCCATGTTGTCATCTATGTGTCCAGCGTCTGTCCCGGGAGTGTGACATGGAGATCACCGAGATCATCCAGCAAGCAGCAGGGGATATCCGTGAGGCGCCCGTCCTGGAGAAGGCTTGTATGGGTGAGGTAAGCTGTATAATGAGGTAGCTTGAAATTAAAGGGTGACTGTACTCCACAGGCCCAGGTCAATTTTCAGACAAGGACCTTGTAAATAGTTCAGTGTGTGAAACTGGGTCATTGCTGCTGGGTTGTTTGTAGAGGTGTGTGGTAGTACCATTGAAAATACTATTGAATTTGTATCAAAATATGCTTGGAAAATACCGTTATTTTGTGTTTTCCAAAATCTTGCATATTTTCGTCTTCTGGACAAAGTTTACATAAGTAACAAGTTGAATTGAAGTTAAGGAATTCAGAAATTAATTCAAATTATCAACTGATTCCTGAGATAGAAAAGGCAAAACTGTTTGCACCCAGCTTCCTTTTAATGATGTGCTTATTACCCAGGTGTTATCACCATAGCAACATCCAACAAGATGGCAGATGACTACAAAGAGAGAGAGGGAGAGAGCTGTTATTTTTCATTTACCTTTGTTTTAAGCCATTGTCTGGTTCGTGTGTTTCAGATCAAGTTGCACTGTCAAGATAAGCTGATGGAAGATACCGAGAAGGGCTCTGATGAGGAGCTGCAGATCAAAGAAGCTGGGAAGGGACAAGTTGAGGAATGTCTGAAAGAAAAATTCCGTCAACGGAAGCTGACCGACAAAAACTGTATCAAGGTAGTGATTCCAACATTCATCTGCACCTTCAGCGTTATCCAAGGTGGAATTGCTCCCCAGTACCATGTAGAGCTGTGCTCCAATCTTCACCTTAAGTGTTATTCAAGGTGGAATTGCTCCCCAGTACCATGTAGAGCTGTGCTCCAATCTTCACCTTAAGTGTTATTCAAGGTGGAATTGCTCCCCAGTGCCATGTAGAGTTGTGCTCCAATCTTCACCTTAAGTGTTATTCAAGGTGGAATTGTTCCCCAGTACCATGTAGAGTTGTGCCCAATCTTCACCTCCATGGTGATCCAAGGTGGAATTGTTCCCCAGTACCATGTAGAGTTGTGCCCAATCTTCACCTCCATGGTGATCTGAGGTAGAATGCCTGGGCATGCTTGGGTACAAGACACATTGATTTTGTTTGGTACAGTTTAAGGTATATCACATGACATTTCTCTGCACATTGCATGTACATTCCTAGGGTACAAGCCTTCATGTGACATTCCTTGCAAAAACAATATTATTAACACTGATAAAAATAAGCTTTGTACATTGATGGATAAAAACAGGTGTATCCAGGTGGTGTTGAGTGCTGTATCATGTGATGGTCTCTAACGTGTATGTGGTCTTGCAGGAGGTGTCCTACCTTATCCAGGAGGAGGAGATTGACGTCAATGTGGACCCTATTCTGAAGATAGGCTGTCAGAAGGAGCTGAATAGACTCTGTCGAGGCGTGAGAGCTGGGGAGGGCAGAAGTATGTACAATAAACAGTAAATAGCTGAGTATGTTCAAGGCATATATGTCCAGTAGATAGGCTATGTTCAAGGCATATGTGTCCAGTAGATAGGCTATGTTCAAGGCATATGTGTCCATTAGATAGGCTATGTACAAGGCAAATGTGTCAAATAGACAGCCTATGTTCAAGGCATATGTGTCCAGTAGATAGGTTATGTTCAAGGCATATGTGTCCAGTAGATAGGCTATGTTCAAGGCATATGTGTACATTAGATAGGCTATGTACAAGGCAAATGTGTCCAGTAGATAGGCTATGTACAAGGCAAATGTGTCCAGTAGATAGGTTATGTTCAAGGCATATGTGTCCAGTAGATGGCTATGTTCAAGGCAAATGTGTCCAGTAGACAGCCTATGTTCAAGGCATATGTGTCAAAAAGACAGCCTATGTTCTAGGCAAATGTGTCAAGTAGACAGCCTATGTTCAAGGCAAATGTGTCAAGTAGACAGCCTATGTTCAAGGCATATGTGTACAGAGGACAGTCAATAGTCATGGGAGATGTGTACAAAGGATGGCCTATGTCAAGGCATGTGTGTCCAGTAGATAGCTCAAGGTAGATACACTACATGGTGGTGGTGTGTTTCAGTGATGTCCTGTCTGCTGTCTGTGCTGGAGGAAGACCCCAAGTCCATGTCTGACAAGTGCCGGACCATGTTACACAACAGGAAAGAGATGTGGGAATACGCTGCCCAGGTCAGTCATACAGGCATGCATCATACAGGCATCATACAGGCATCACACATTCATATGGGCATCATACGGGCATAATACATGCATCACACAGGCATCATACATGCATCATACAGGCATCATACATGCTCCATACAGGCATCATACATGCATCATACAGGCATCATACATGCTCCATACAGGCATCATACATGCATCATACAGGCATCATACATGCATCATACAGGCATCATACATGCTCCATACATGCATCACACAGGCATCATACATGCATCATACATGCTCCATACATGCATCATACAGGCATCACACATTCATATGGGCATCATACGGGCATAATACATGCATCACACAGGCATCATACATGCATCATACATGCTCCATACAGGCATCATACAGGCATCACACATTCATATGGGCATCATACGGGCATAATACATGCATCACACAGGCATCATACATGCATCATACAGGCATCATACATACATCATACATGCAGGCACTTTTTGATAGCATGGCGTCTTGTTGATAGCTATTCATAATGAAGTCCTGTGTTTAGCCATCTTAGAATAAGTTGTCATTTGTTTGCTTCAGTGCTTATCTGTGCTTTTGTTTGGTGTTGAATGTACCACAGCAATACTCCAGTTATTATGGCTGTCTGTAACTAATCTAATGTAATCTATCCTGGACCCCACAAATCAGTGATTGAGATCATGGCGCATAATGGCACACAGTCAACCAAGTCACCGTGTCTGACCCCCTCTTCTGCCCAGCATAGGGTGCTGGCTACCTATTGTAACCTGGAATCCCCCTAGAGTACTTATTGGTGTGACTTACCACGGCTGCAACAGACCTGACCACATTATTTTGTTCTGGTTTGACTGCACGACGACTGATTTCCATTACTGGTAGTGTGGACCCTTTGTATCTGCCCTTCATGAGTTCAATTCTAAGCTGGGTGGTGGGGTAGCTTTGTGGTTAAAGCGTTTGCTAGTCACGCCAAAGACACGGGTTCGATTCCCCGCATGGGCAAAACTTGTGAAGCCCATTTCTGGGCCCATTTCCGCCATGATATTGCTGGAATATTGCTAAAAGCGGCGTAAAACTCTACTCACTAAAATCCAGGCTTATGATTCCTGGTTTGTCAGCACGTGCCAATGCTGGTGGGCTTCCTGAAAGTGGTATATGTCTGTGACCTGGATCATGTTGGGTTTTACAGAGTTGCATCTCTTAGATCTGCCTCACTGAATGCTTTCAACCCACATCAATCTGACACTCCATGATATGACTGAAACACTGTACCATGCAGGGATACACTCATGCACTCACTTCCTTAGAGACTTGCATCAACCTAGTCGGCGAGTCTGATCTCCTGATCCTGTTAATCGTCTCTTACGACAAGCATAGTTGCCTTTTACAGCAAGCATGGGTTGCCGAAAACCTATTCTACCCCAGATCTTCACGGGACAGATCGCTATATGAGTAATCTTGAATGTGGCATTAAACCTCACCTCACCTCACCTCACTTAGGGCTTTTCTCCATCATCACCATGACACAATGTGATGTAACTGAAATGCTTTTCAAGTCAGTGTTAAAATAATTCCTCATGTTGAATAAACAAAGAAAATATTAGGATGATAATCATTTGAAAACTTGAGCAATGTGGATTTGTGAGAGAAACATATCACACTAAAATATTGTACACTTTTCTTTTTCATTTCAGGTTGCTCCTATTGAAGGTTTCCAAGAGATTTACTCCGCGATTTCCGAGTCCCCAGCTAAATTCTATATTCTGGGAGTTTTGACAGCAGTTGTGTGTATGATCTTCGTGTTTGGAATTGGGTGTGGACGAGTCACCAAGCGAGTTCGAGCAGAGATGAAGAACAAATAATATCATGTGTACATGTGAAAATAACACTTAACCCTGTCACTGACGACAAGATCAAGTCACTTGGTCGAGATTTGTTATTGACAGGGTTAATAGGAGCGTGGGAGGGGTGACCCCTCAGTGACAAGTTCTCTGTGATTCATTGAGTTTTAAATTCACTTCTACCTTTCATCCTTTCATTGATAGATACTAGCACTTTCATTGACTGCAAGGTTGGTCAGTGAAAGGGTGGATGGGATCAAATCCTGTATCTTAAGTCATCTCTCAGTAAAAGGGTTCAAGACATCATGATAATCATTGCAGTATTTTAACATATGTATAGACAAGCTTAATTAACATGCAGTTAGGAGGAGGTCGTCCTGTCATGTTGGAAAGTCACAATGCAGTTTTGATTTTGAACTCATTTTGATGTCAACAGTATTCATTTCCAATCAAAGAAATTAATACAGTGATATCTGATTGTTATCCTAGCTTTTTTTTTTCTGTATTATTTTTGTCCATGAAATCATCTGCATTGAACAGTTAACATAGTTATGGGTGTACTGAGAATAATCATGTCATCTGCCAGTATTTGCATCAACTGGAATTGTTCACATGAAATTGCATCTACTTCCTCCTTTTTGACGTATCTCCCAAGATATGCTGTTTAAGACAGCATAGTTGTTGTTCAGTTTTTACTCACCATATTTCAATTTGAGTTAGAACATGCGTTATGTTGTAGTTTGAACACTTGACAGTAGCAATCTCATTCAAATAGGATGTGTCAGATGATTTTTCCCATCCAGTCAGTGTTAAGGCTTCCACATTCACAGATTAGAGAACAAAAGCATTCTGAGCAGTGTATTTCATATCTGTGTCTGGAAAATGTACACAAAAGGGCAGCTCTGAATGGAAAAAATAAAGGCCACACTATTATAGTGTTTGGAATATTTAGTACCCTGTCGTGAGCATCTACACCCCAATGGGAGTATATTTGATGAAATATTTGTATTTTTGTGGGTTTTTCTTCTGTTAAATTCAAAATTTCCTGGTGTTATAGAAATGAAGCTCAATGCTTTTGAAAGATGACACTTGAAACATCTGGTTTTAATGAGATTGGCTGTATTGCTGTAGTTGGTCCTCCAGCTTACCTCTGAAGCCTTGCATAATCACAACACACCCGGGCCTGTCAGTTCTCTGAAGACATTCCGAAGCAGTACACCTTTCAGAGCTGACATACTGCCTGCCTGCCCGCCCGCCTGCCTGCCTGCCTGCCCTCCCTGTGTGTACTGTATCCAGCAGTGACTACACACAACCTCTCCTAGTTCATAGCTGCCAAATGTCCCTAATGTTTCTTATTTTGGTATGAATTTGCAACTAAAATATAAAAATCTGATTTCTTCCTTAATTCATACAAATAATATGGCAATTACCACAAAAAAAATCACAAAGACTAAGTTTCATAGACGCCAGTAAAGATCCTTACATCGTCTGCTTCAAAAACGTTTTGTTTATTGACGGTACAAAGTCTACTGTGCTTCAACAATCAAGACACACCACTCGTTTGGTGTAGTCGAAATAGAAAAAAATTATCCACTGTTTTTCGAAATCATATGGATGTATTGTACTGAAGACAATTTATATCATGGGGCCGTGGTGTGCCGACCAGAAGATCGTAACAAAATACTAATGTTAAGTTGGACATGTTGGCAGCTATGCTAGTTGTGGCTCTTCAGGTACACATGTGGAATAATGTGTTGGATGTGTTGAAGGTGTTATTTATGCAAACATCTACATGAACGGGTGAAACTTCACTTTGTGGCTAGAGCATTGATAGTTGGATTTGACCCCAAGTCTTTGTTTATAATATGTGAAATCATGTTTCAGGTTTGTTTTTAGTAGCAATCATGTAAATTATGTTGTTTTTTCTGTTTGTTTTATGAGAATAGCACTGTTGGGCTAGGTAAAATATGTGCCCAAACTAGGTAAGATGAAACATTCTCTCCAAAACTAAATGCTACTGATGAATTGTCTTGTTCAAAATTTAGTGTGAATGTTTATTATTTTATGTTTTCCCCATTTTGTTTTCAGCACTGTGTTTTAATGATTTGGGATATGTTTCTAGTCCGATGGTGGTAGTTGTAGGGCTTCACTTGTTGGTTCGCACAGCACGTAACTGCAACACTCTGTGTCAGAATTTCAGGACCTTTATTACAATGTATTTTCATTGATGTCTGTTGATATTATATTAAATAAGAATGTGAGGGCACAGATAGCTCAGTTGTCTAAGACACCACAGTGGCACCATGTGATTGTTGGTTTGAATCCCGGTTCGTCCTGGTTATGTTTCTAGGTTTGTCAGCAGAGTACTGATACTCATGGTAAATGTCGAAGACCAGCATCACTTCAGGCTTTCTTCTCCCATCAAGCTGACATAAAATACTGTTCACTCAAAGATATTTCCCCCACTTTTTTATGTTAATGAACCTGCTACGTTACCTAGCCCCAATACTGATTTCCTAGGGACCTCCTTCCTAAGGTTGACTTGGCCAAGGGGTAGTGACAGTTTGCATGCCCGTGCTTCATTTCTTTGTATTCTAATCTTTCGTATGTTTTTGTTCTTGAACAAGGAAACCATAAAAGTTCCATTTCTACGCATCATGTTTGAAGAAATGTTCATTTCTCACATATATTTACTTCAACACAGAAACCATCCATGCAACATTTGAAGACATGAAGCCATGATGTTATTTTTGTTTGATTGATATTGGATAAGATGTTATTTATTGTCAGCAAGTACTACTTAGCACATTGTGTTGTATACTCAGTACGCTGTCAGGTCAAGATACTGTTGTACCCGTGTGCCGCTTTCAGAACAGACTTTATATCACCTCAGTGAATCTACCCAAATGAGGGTGCATTTGTTTGTGTCAGTCACATCCTTGATTCTACTTCTTGTGGCATATTACTACGTTTCTTGACTCTGTTAGATAATGGTCGCTGTATCCTGATTTTACTATAATTGTTATGCTATGTGTTTATGATTTACATGGCGAAACCATTGTAGCTCTGTGTGGGTAACCAAATCATTGTGTTGATGGTCTTGCCTAGTGCCTTGCATGCTTGCCCTGCAAGACTAAATCAGAATGGAACAAATATGAAGTAAGCCGAAATCATACAGTGAAACCTCGTTAGTCTGGACCCCTGTTAAAATGGATAGCTACTTTTTGGAACGTATTCAAGAAATTTGTTATCGGGTGATTTTACTGAAAATCTGGATGAATATGGATTCTTTGTAGGTACATATATTTGGTTGATTGTCCCATGAGGCGTATATGACTGATATACTGAGGTTCATGTAATTTACTAATGGTCTAAGTTAGTAGATGACCAAAATTTGTTCAGTTTGAGGAGTTGCATGTACAGGTATGATTGAGAGACACATTAACCTGGGATTGACAGAGGGTTGGTAGTTTAGTTGTTTAGATGCTGATGCTGTTGTTGTTTGTATTTGTTAAGCATCGGAACAAAACTATTAAATTTGGAAGTGCGGGATTAGAGCAAAATTTCAAATCTTTTTTTGTTTTATGTATCATGAACAAAAGTAGAAAGTAGGTTTTCTGTTTCATCGGTGTCACATTTGGTGACAGATGTCTGTAAATACTCATGTCAGTACCATGTTTGTCATTGGGCTAAAAGTGATGGTCTCTTGATAATCAATTAATTACTGTTGCCCTTCTATTAAAATGAAAAATAAATAATTGCGTTTTCATTAGGAGTACAAGCCACGATATGTACAGAGGTTTAATTTGGCTCATCTTGTTCAGTTGTCTTGGAATAAGAAAAGGATTAGGCACATTTCGTTTTCATTTCCATTTAAAAAATCAAATCAAATCCTTAAATTTTCCACATCTTGAACAGTAAAATGCTGCAATACTTATAAACAATGCGATCCATTGTTTGTGTGCTTGTATTTGCCGTTTGCAAATTTCGTCAATGAAAACATGATAAACAATAAAACATCACTAGACAAGATACAAATTCAGTGGTATTATTGTATTCCGGATAATGTTTCATACATGTGTAGATCTATTTGCAATCAGCTGTTCACACATAAATAATACTTGATGTCCTGGCCAGTGTCATAACTATATTTTCAAAAGCTATTGCCTGACAACCAATTATATATTTTTTAAGCCTCAGTGATGCGTTTTATCAAAAGGTAGATCGACGATATTCGAACTGGAAATGTTTTATCAATGGGCCCCCTCCTTTTTCATGTCAAGATAGATAGTATGTTTGTTTTGTTTAGTCCCTGTCTACTCAAAGCTGAGATAGACTCTGTATAATGCTTTGGCTACTGTGGTACAATATAACTTTTTTTGTAAAATGAAATATCAGTTCTATCACTCTGCAAGTCCCTGTTCCAAGATAATAAAAGTTGGCCTTTTGATAGTGGCTACTGTACATGGCTTCATGTAATTCGTTTGTGATAATTTATTGAATATGAAGCAATAGATTTTCAATATCAGTATTGTTGGTTGTATCAAAAAAAGAGTTGTTTGTGATTTCCAAGTTTTGTTGCATAATAGTGGTTGTTTTCGGGTCACATCAAGCAAAATGTCACCATACATGTATTTGCAGGAGTTTGATTGTCTGGTTTGTGTTGGACTCGTTTGATTATGTTCCAAGTTTGTTTACTGCATACGTTGCACCTTGAGCATGCTCAATCACACTCACAAGATCTGGAAACTATGATGCCAATTTACTCAAAGAATTGTATTTGGAAAAAATCAGTGATCCGGGTGGCAAATTCTGTAACATTCTTGAAGGTTTAGAGTGCATTGAGTTTGAGGATTAAACAAATTGCTGTTCATATGAGATTCAAACAAAAGCCCCCATCAAAGACTTCGAAATTTGTCTTTTAACTTGATTGGCAGTAAAAGGCTCACATGAATTTGATGTGCAGTTTTTTGGCTTTTAATAACATAAGTAAAATCAGTTACTAATTGTGAGGCTTTCAACCAAACGGCAACATTTATAAAATTGCCCCCAGTGTCACGTCAGAATCGGAGTTGCACATACATACCAAAGATGCATCATTTATCAGCAAGACTAATCATATTTAATGTTTACTCATGGTAAAATGGGTTTATATATTCTTGAACTAATCACCTACATGGTAATTTTGATCAGTGCTGTTTTCAAGGAATGTAATGCATGTTGTATTTTGCTAGATGTACATAGTTATGACCTGTTAATTTACTTGTAGATGTGTGAAAGCTAGGACCAAGAAGTTTGTGAAAACTAGGCTTCTGTGCCTATGAAGTACAGTGGAGCTTGTTGTCATCTGTGTGAAACAATTTGGGGCTTAGAATGACTGACAAATATGTAAAAAGTTTCTGCTACTGCTGCTGTACATGTGCTTCATCCAGGTGACCCATAACCTCTGCTTCTGTGTCCTATGCTGACTCCACATCAGATTACTGCTTGTCACAGCTCGTCCCATACACACCAGGCAAGCAATTAATGGGCTGCTCCTGACGTGCTTGTACATATATACATACAAACATACCCTCAGCTTTCATGCAGCACTTCTCTACTTGAGTTATACATGTTTGGTAATGTTAGTTTGTACTCTAATGTACAACTATTGTAGGGGGAGCTTGCCTCTGCTACTGGTCTTACAAAATGTGTGGAGAAGATTATGTAGTATCGATTCTTGAGCCGGTAGCAGGTGATGAGGTAACTGCAAAATTTCCATCAAGTGCCAGTTGAGTTACCATGGTTACTTGTGAGCTTCTCCCTTGTCCCCAACAGTGGAAAATACCAGGTGTGAGGGATAGTCACTTTTACCATAGGGGGGTTGTGGTAATGAATGACCCACTTATTTTTCTACTTGTTCGTCATATGCTTGTTGTAACAGGGGTGTGTTGGATGTAAGGATTTCTATAATAAAGTTACTTCAACCACAAGTTTGGTTTTCATTTCATGACAACAAAATCATCACCACTAGACAATTTAAGTCTACATATTTTTCACTTTTGACAGGATGTAAACTCCACATAACTGCTTGTCATGGACGTCTAAAACTTTAAATCTGTAGATCGTGGAGACGTGGTAATGCAGGATAAGTATAGAAATGTAAAAAATATCTTTATCTTTAACTTTTCTTGCATTACTCCCTAATGTTGTACTTCAGATGTAGTCCATGGCAGTCATCACTTGCGCAGATCTGCAACTACCAATCCTGTCCACAAGAACATCCTAGTAAAACAACATTTAAATTGGCCATGTTCCTCGGGTAGTGTCGGACCTAAAAAAACATCCTTCCTGTAGGCAGTAACAGGTCAAAGATGAGACATCTGTCCCTCTGTACTTTGATGATATCAGTTGTTAAACAGAGATGACTGACGAAGTAACCGTCGCTTTAACTCAGAACCCTAATTGGAGGTGGCCAAATAACCCATCTGGCATTTGGCTGAGGTGAGTGTCCCACTTGGAGGATCGGTGAAGAGGCTGGATCAGGGCTTTGAGCATGATGACCCCATTCACATGCACAACATTTACTAATGTAAGTAATTTTACACATGTGTAAGTATACATAGGTGTGCAAACAAAGTTTTGACTCCTTGAAAACACTGTCCAACTCTATAATTAGATCATCCACTTACGTTGACATAAATGTTCACATTGCAACTATTTACATTTGCACCTGCTCAAGACATGATGCAAATTTGCTCCTGAACAATGCGCTAACAGAGGCGTATGTGAACGGGGTATTAGATGCCAACGCATGAGATGACGGGAGCTGATTGTTGGGCATGTTGCGTAGTAGTGACTTGTGTATAGAGGGTCTGGATACGCTGGATGCCTGGGTACACACAGGAGGGTAGGGGATGTCAACAGTGACTCGTGTAAAGACTCTTCTGAGTCTGACATCCTCCTGGAATGGCTCAGCAAATCTGTTTACCATAGGTGAGGATCTTTTGAAGATTTTTTACCACTGCAACTTGTTACAGTGGAAGACAAATTTACGCAAAAATGGCATAAATAACACCACAGGTTAATCCAAAAACTTCTTGGAGCAGCATGTCTTGTCGGATGACAATAAGGAATGTGGAGTTTGTGACGTCACATACGGGTTACATGGTCTCGAGTGTGAAGCAGGACCCAGCAGATAAATGAAACAACTTCTTTTTCTCAGCTTGACCCCTGCAGCTTCGTTTTCTGTACAAAGTAAATGCACTAAAAATAATGCAGGATAAGTTAAAAAATAAAAAAAAATTTTGCTCAGAAGACGGACGACGGGTTGATGGATGGAAGAAGAGAGAAGATGATTCGGAAGGTTTTTATTAACAATAAACTGGTGTATATGATAAACAAGGTGATGAATATTATTATGGTTACAAAGACAGTCTCAACATTTTACTACAAAACAATTGGAACAGAAGTATTTGGTATTCTTACTTTTAGACGTTCATTTTCTCAAACCTCATTTCAGATTTGGCTGTGACTGTCGTGTCTTGCATATTGACACTAAGCCACCATGAGACAATGTTTTGAACAGCAATATTACAGCTTTTCCCTGCCAACACCGTTCCATACCATCTAAAGACACACATTGGCTGTGGAAAGTGCTGAACTGTTCCCTATATACACGGATATTCATTTCATCGGACTTGAGCTCTTTAGACTCATGATAGTACTTTACTGGGTTACCGTGGGGATTCAATTGGTCTTCAGCTGGGTGATTGTTGATCGCATTGTCAGGACTTGGTTGATGGAGTGGATTGTTGCTCACAATATCAATCACTGGATTGTCTGGTTCAAACTCGATCATTACAGGCCACCATCATATAGCTGGAATATTGCTGAGTGTGGCGTTAAAGAACAACATAAAACACACACTTTACTGTCATGTACTGATTACTTGATTTTAACTCGCATGACATTTTCATGGTTACTTTTGACAACACAGACCTGGCCAGTGGCGTTTCACCCCATCCTGAATCTGTAACCTCACAACTCGGAGCCCCAGTTGAAAACAGGCAATGCACAACATGTCTGAGGATGCGACAACTTCTTTGTATGACTTTAATTAATGCCTTTTAGGGCAATGATGGACTGGAAATATCATGCATTCATTTCCACAAGTTCAAGTGCACTCAACTGAACACTGTCAAGGATTAGTACAAGCTAGAGTTCTCTGAGTACAAGCACTGCTAATAAAAACAGTAGGTCTTCACATCTTTGTGATGCACTTAAATACACACCTCGGATGTATTTATCAAACAGAGACAGGAAGCAAAAATTATTGGAAGTATTATTCCTCACTCACACTTTTCAGCCTTTCATTCAACTAAAGTCTTCATTGAAAATAGATAATGTCAAATTAGCCATTTCACGGCGAAGTCACTGATCATCAACATCTTTGTATCATTTGAAACTTGATCCTGCACATCCAGGGTAGACATTGTGTAACGTGGCCCAACTTGAAACGAGTAGTCCTTGCATATTGTTACTAGTCTCAGGATTATCAGAATAGTCTCTGATCCTGGCATCCATGATGAATGTGGCCCGTCAGCCCTGTCTGTAGAGGGGGTTACACTGACCCTGTCTGTAGTTGGGGTTAGACTGACCCTGTCTGTAGAGGGGGTTACACTGACCCTGTCTGTAGTGGGGGTTACACTGACCCTGTCTGTAGTTGGGGTTACACTGACCCTGTCTGTAGTTGGGGTTACACTGACCCTGTCTGTAGTTGGGGTTAGACTGACCCTGTCTGTAGAGGGGGTTACACTGACCCTGTCTGTATAGGGGGTTACACTGACCCTCTACAACAATGCTGCACCATATGGTGTTGAATGGAGATGAACCATTGTCTCCTGGTATTGGTATCCATGAGATGAAACGTACAGCCAAGAATAATAGACTATTTGTCAATGATACAATGTTATAAAGTAATCAAAAGTGAATTAATTCCTATTGTATGAGTGGTCTCGTATTGATGACAGCAAAAGTAAATCGGTGTAGCACTGCAACGTTCTTCAAGTCATGACATCGCTGTACTGTGACATCTTTGCACATCACTACATTTACTAAAACAATTGCACTCAAACCTATAGAAATAATTATGTTTTCCATCAGTTGAACGTTTTGTCCAAATGTTCTTAAAATATTTTTAACACTTACAGTCTAATTATGCTTTCATGCAAAACACAGTGAGTGATTTCCCCTCTATGTCTATAGGCGCAGCCTATGATCAGTGAGTCTAGGGCAGTCTGTGATCAGTGAGTCTAGGTCAACAGAACTAACCACCCCCCCCCTTCTTCATTGGAAACTTCGAATAAATCAATATTTAAAAAATACTTATCTTGGAAGTAGTTAAATACTCTGAATACAGACCAGTGGACATCTTAATGTCATATTCAACAAACAAGTATCCTGTTTGAACACATCAGTGTCGTAAAGTGCCGTACATTTTCTACGATCCACTGTCATCTCGTTCACTTTGACATTTGTTGACAACACCATTATTATCCTCAAGGCCACATTCTCACAAGAAGCTTGCACAAATCCTGATGCAGTGACACAGTCACTAGTGTCTGCTTACACAAGCTGTAGTCACGTTCACAGTAATATTTGTCTTATAATTCCGTTTCGTATGACACATTACTGTTCTGCCGATAAAATGCATTTGATCCTGGACGTTCTTGGTGTTCGAGAGAAAATATTGATGAGGGTGTCCGTGTCTTCTCTCGATGGATCTCCACAGCACAGGTCACTTTATTCTCCAAAGGAATCTCATGTTTCTCTCCCTCAGTCACTGACTTGTCTCCCCTTGTATGTGGCGTCACACATCGTGGGGACTGGGCCCCGTTAGCATCTGGAGTCTGAGCTCCATGCCTGCTTCCTGTGGACACTTTCCGACGTGTTCCATCCTCCATAACAACCTTCTCTTTGCTCTCAGCTGAAATCTTTCTCCGTGTTCCATCTGTGATAACCGATTTCTCGTCCTTGCTTTCCGAAGACACCTTTCGGCGAGTTCCGTTTTCAGTAGGTTTTTCTTCTGTCGTGATCTGGTCAACCGGTGAGCCCACACTCCGGCGCTCTGCATCTTCAGCTTCTGACGCAGAGCTGGCTCCACTGGGACTCTGCCGAGGCTCCGGGGGAGGATCCACAGTGGAGCTGTCGCCACTGTCCCCCTTCTGCTTCTCCTCGTTGATGACGTCCATCAGGTCGCTGGTGTTGAAGGAATCCTTGCTGTCCTGGTTGCTGAGAGACTTGTCTGTGCTCTGACTTGCACTACGCTTCATGCTTGGGATGCCTGTAACAAATATCAGTGTATCAGTGTCCGAATGTCCCTGGCGTAATCCTACATATTTAGACTTGGTGGGTTCTTGGATGAAAACATCACAGCCCAAAACCTCCATGCTTTCGATTTCCAAACCTCCAATGCCATTGTCTTTGGATAGATAATGGATAGATAATGGATAAGTAAGGGATAAGTAATGGATAAATAATGGATAAATAATGGATAAATAATGGATAAATTAGATAAACTATATAGTATGTTTGACTGAACATAGGATAACCAGTGTAGGAAACTTGGTAAAAGTATCAAACCGTAGTTGTCAGAGCTATCTATCGTTCAATGACTAACCGGAATCTTGGCTCTCCACACTGTTGTTGGTTTTGTCAAGGTCATCCTTGAGGATCTGTGTGCGTTTGTCTTCGATGACGGGAGTCTCCTTGTGCGGCGGCGGCATTGACTCCGGCAACAGCTCATGCTCCACCCTCTCCACCACTAGCATCTGGTCATCCTCCACATCATACTCCACACGGGCATCGTTGGGGATGTCCGACAGCGACACCTGCATCACACACAACCGTTACCTCCCTTGCAGTGTCACAAACATTCATTGCCTAATTTGCAGGCATGGTGTTACAGGCTATGGCTTATTTCCCACTCCTATGTATTATTTTTACATGGATATGTGCAAGCAACAGACGAACACATACAAAAGTGGGATTCATAAAATATAAGTTCGGATTGGAATTACTACAGAATATGGAATTGATTCTACAACAAATGCGAACATCTGCTGATTATATAAACATTTGTCTTCAAGTATTCAGAATAATTCTCCGTTTAAGGTAATACAGTACCTAATTCAAGGGGATTGCAAAGTCTAAACGAATATTTATCTCAGTTTTCAAAAATGTTTGACCTGATAATTTTCTTGACAAATTAGAAATCTCTACAGAAAATGAACTGAAATAGTTTCATTTCCTTCATTTTGTTCATTATAATTCACTATGTATATCATATATTTGTTACATGGTGACAAGCGATACAGAGTAGTAAAGTGGCATTACAGGAATATTTAAAATAGGTCCCTCCCAGTTCACAGCGCTGATCTCATTACCTCAGAGCCGAAGATGAAGGCTGCTTGCCCCTTCTTGCTGGGCTTTCTCTCTGGGACCTTGCTCTGGGAGGACACAGAGGACACGGATGATCTGGATGACCTCCCTGAACTCGCCCTGCTGCTGGCCCTACTCAGAGCCGACCTTGAGCTGGAGGACATCTTCAGGGATGGGTCGAGGTGCTTCACCAAGTTAGATTCGGGGTCCATTACCTGGCGGTACAGAGACAGTAACTAGGGTACGAGGCAGTAACTAGGGTACAGAGACAGTAACTAGGGTACAGCGAGAGTAACTAGGGTACAGCGAGAGTTACTAGGGTACAGAGAGAGTAACAAGGGTACAGATACAGTAACTAGGGTACAGAGACAGTAACTAGGGTACAGAGAGAGAGACTAGGGTACACAGAGAGTAACTAGGTTACAGAAACAGTAACTAGGGTACAGAGAGAGTAACTAGGTTACAGAAACAGTAACTAGGGTACAGAGAGAGTAACTAGGGTACAGAGAGTAACTAGGGTACAGAGAGAGTAACTAGGGTACAGATACAGTAACTAGGGTACAGAGACAGTAACTAGGGTACAGAGACAGTAACTAGGGTACACAGAGAGTAACTAGGGTACACAGAGAGTAACTAGGTTACAGAAACAGTAACCATGGTACAGAGAGAGTAACTAGGGTACAGAGAGAGTAACTATGTTACAGAAACAGTAACTATGTTACAGAAACAGTAACTAGGGTACAGAGAGTGTAACTAGGGTACAGAGACAGTAACTAGGGTACAGAGAGAGTAACTAGGGTACAGAGACAGTAACTAGGATACAGAAACAGTAACTAGGGTACAGAGAGAGTAACTAGGTTACAAAAACAGTAACTAGGGTACAGAGAGACTAACTAGCATTCAGAGACAGTAACTTAGGTACAGAGAGTAACTAGGTTACAGAAACTAACTATGGTACAGAGAGAGTAACTAGGGTACAGAGAAAGTAACTAGGTTACAGAAACAGTAACTAGGGTACAGACAGTAACTAGGGTACAGAGAGAGTAACTAGGTTACAGAAACAGTAACTATGGTACAGAGAGAGTAACTAGGGTACAGAGAGAGTAACTAGGTTACAGAAACAGTAACTAGGGTACAGAGAGAGTAACTAGGGTACAGAGAAAGTAACTAGGGTACAGATAGTAACTAGGGTACAGAGACAGTAACTAGGGTACAGAGAGAGTAACTAGGGTACAGAGAAAGTAACTAGGGTACAGATAGTAACTAGGGTACAGAGACAGTAACTAGGGTACAGAGAGAGTAACTAGGGTACAGAGAGAGTGACTAGGTTACAGAAACAGTAACTAGAGTACAAAAACAGTAACTAGGGTACAGAGGCAGTAACTATGGAAACAAACTTGTGAGTTACTTACTAAATTTTCCTGATTATCATTTACTCTTGGGATTTCCTCCAAATACACTCAGTTTAAAGAGATGCTGGACAGACTCGGGTCATACATTTGTCAAAAGTATTTCCCTTCACCATGTTATCTCCCTAATGGTCGACTGATCAAAACTAGGACTATGACATATAATTAAAGGAAATCTACATCATCTTTAGGCAATCATTGATTGATCCTGCCCCTTATTACTCCATGGTTGGAAGAAAGAGGGTACCTTGATGACGGTCTTGACAAACTTGGGTGTCTCGGATGGCGTCTTGATGATCTCCTCAACCTCCACCTTCACACTCTTCTTCTCCAGCCTTGCATTCTCCTTCAGCAGCTTCCTGCGGGAACAAGGGTCAGAAGGTGTTCACATACAACAGGGAACGTGGTCAGACGGTGTTCACATACAACAGGGAACGTGGTCAGATGGTGTTCACATACAACAGGGAACGTGGTCAGACGGTGTTCACATACAACAGGGAACGTGGTCAGACGGTGTTCACATACAACAGGGAACGTGGTCAGATGGTGTTCACATACAACAGGGAACGTGGTCAGATGGTGTTCACATACAACAGGGAACGTGGTCAGACGGTGTTCACATACAACTGGGAACGTGGTCAGACGGTGTTCACATACAACAGGGAACGTGGTCAGATGGTGTTCACATACAACAGGGAACGTGGTCAGACGGTGTTCACATACAACAGGGAACGTGGTCAGACGGTGTTCACATACAACAGGGAACGTGGTCAGACGGTGTTCACATACAACAGGGAACGTGGTCAGATGGTGTTCACATACAACAGGGAACGTGGTCAGATGGTGTTCACATACAACAGGGAACGTGGTCAGACGGTGTTCACATACAACAGGGAACGTGGTCAGACGGTGTTCACATACAACAGGGAACGTGGTCAGACGGTGTTCACATACAACAGGGAACGTGGTCAGACGGTGTTCACATACAACAGGGAACGTGGTCAGACGGTGTTCACATACAACAGGGAACGTGGTCAGACGGTGTTCACATACAACAGGGAACGTGGTCAGACGGTGTTCAGATACAACAGGGAACGTGGTCAGATGGTGTTCAGATACAACAGGGAACGTGGTCAGATGGTGTTCACATACAACAGGGAACGTGGTCAGATGGTGTTCACATACAACTGGGAACGTGGTCAGATGGTGCTCACATACAACAGAGAACGTGGTCAGACGGTGTTCATTCAGAACAAGAACCTTAGTCAGACAGTGTTCATTCACAACAGGAACCTTAGTCAGACAGTGTTCATTCACAACAGGAACCTGAGTCAGACAGTGTTCATTCACAACAGGAACCTGAGTCAGACAGTGTTCATTCACAACAGGAACCTGAGTCAGACAGTGTTCATTCACAACAGGAACCTCAGTCAGACAGTGTTCATTCACAACAGGAACCTCAGTCAGACAGTGTTCATTCACAACAGGAACCTCAGTCAGACAGTGTTCATTCACAACAGGAACCTCAGTCAGACTGTGTTCATTCGCAACAGGAACCTGAGTCAGACAGTGTTCATTCACAACAGGAACCTGAGTCAGACAGTGTTCATTCACAACAGGAACCTGAGTCAGACAGTGTTCATTCACAACAGGAACCTGAGTCAGACAGTGTTCATTCACAACAGGAACCTGAGTCAGACAGTGTTCATTCACAACAGGAACCTGAGTCAGACAGTGTTCATTCACAACAGGAACCTGAGTCAGACAGTGCTCCCACTCAGTAGCGACCATTTTGGTGGCCAAATGCTACTTAAATCTATGATTGGCTACCTAAATTAATCTACTGCTCGCTTCTTGGATACCTTAAAGTAAACATAACTGGCGACAATAATATCTGTTTAAGATATCTGTTGGCTAACCAAAATCTTAGGTTTGGCTCCTAAAATATTCATAATAGGAGCCACTTGGCTCCCCAACAAAAACTGGAGAGTACAGACAGTGGGAGTACATGAACTCTTACTTTGCCCTCTTCCGGAGCAGCTTCTGGGCCTCAGGGTATTCTCTCATGGCTTCCTCAAAGTCGGCCTTAGACAGAGTGAAGACATTGGTGTAGCCCTTGCTGCGTACGTTAGCCGTGCGGCGGTTACCTCCTGACATGGCCAGTAAGCTGAAAAACAGCAAAATGGCTTCCATGATTATGGTGTTAGCAAGAATTAAACTAATAAGGATTCCAATCACTGTATTCACCATAATAAGAACTCTTGGCATTTATTAAAACCATACACAAGGCACATGTGCTGTTAGAGATCAAGTGGCAGCAAACATCCTCAGTTCAAAAGTTGAAACTAAAATGGTGACTAGTTTATTATATACCCCTTCTAAACCTCGGAACATATGGACTGTCATGTAAAGTTCTTGGCCTAGTATGTAGCATTAATACATATTTCTAACAGATTGTTTAGTATTTGATCAGGGACACTTCGATGAATACAGTAAAATTAAAGGGAAATTAGGCTCCACAGTCCACTGCAAGCCACGATGTGCCTTGTGTGAAATTATAACAATCTATAAATAATTTGTGTATGTCTGTGGATTGATCTTTATCAAAAACACAATTAAACAGACAGCAAAGAGTTGTGTGACTGCCAATTTGAAGGGAATTGCGGTCAGTTTGAATGTGTACCTGATTTCCCCAAAGACACTGCCCTCATGTAGTGTGGCCAGCACTGTCTCTCCATCCTCCCCACCCACCACCTCCACCTGGCCGTGACTCACGATGTACATCTCCTTCCCCACCTCACCCTGCAACAGATACTGGTAAGGTGAGCTAATAACCTAGAAACTGGTAGGGTGAGCTAAAACCCAGAAACTGGTAAGGTGAGCTAAAAACACAGAAACCGGTAAGGTGAGCTAAAATAAAAACACAGAAACCGGTAAGGTGAGCTTAGAACAGATACTGGTAAGGTGAGCTAAAACAGAAACTGGTAAGGTGAGCTAAAACAGAGACCGGTAAGGTGAGCTAAAAACACAGAAACCGGTAAGGTGAGCTAAAATAAAAACACAGAAACCGGTAAGGTGAGCTTAGAACAGATACTGGTAAGGTGAGCTAAAACAGAAACTGGTAAGGTGACCTAAAACAGAGACCGGTAAGGTGAGCTAAAACCCCAGAAGCCGGTGAGGTGAGCTTAAAACAGATACTGGTAAGGTGAGCTAAAACAGAAACTGGTAAGGTGAGCTAAAACCCAGAACGTGGTAAGGTGAGCTAAAACCCCAGAAACCGGTAAGGTGAGCTAAAACCCAGAACCTGGTAAGGTGAGCTAAAACCCAGAAAGTGGTAAGGTGAGCTAAAACCCAGAAAGTGGTAAGGTGAGCTTAAAACAGATACTGGTAAGGTGAGCTTAAAACAGATACTGGTAAGGTGAGCTAAAACAGAAACTAGTAAGGTGAGCTAAAAACACAGATACTGGTAGGGTGAGCTAAAACCCAGAAACTGGTAAGGTGAGCTTAAAAAAACCCAGAAACTGGTAAGGTGAGCTAAAATCCAGCAACTTGTAAGGTGAGCTAAGTACTTGCTTTCACTTTCTTCCTAACAACTGACAATGCTTTTAAGTCATTATGTAAAAATGTTTCATGATTATTACATTGCATATTATTTCGACAGTACAAAATGAATATATATTAAAACAAAGGTCTCCAGTAAGGGACATATAGTCAAATGTTCCAAATAAAGTTTTAATTATGTTACTATTTATATGAATCATTATACAAAAATTAGAATACAAAACAAATACCAATGACTAACCCTGACATATCATATAGGTATCAACAATGCCATATGAAACAAACAATGTGTGTTAGTGTACACAAAAGGTAGCCAAATGCAAGAGGACAGCATTCACAATAAAGAACGCCCTACGGCACAGCAGTTTGAACAACTTTCCGAATTATTCCATTGTTTTACATGATACATGCATGCAATGTGCAACAAAGCGCCCATGTATGCAACCCATTCATTTATTATATTATTCCTTGTGCACCAATGTGTGACATCATATACATGTGATTATAGCTGATCTTTAGTGGAAATGCAACGTTTTGAAATTTTATTTTTTGTTTGTAACAAGGCTCAATATTGCCTACATTTCAGCTGATGTATTTTTTTACTATACCATACAACTCATCGCTGCTATTTGTTAACATCTATGTAAATGCTTGTCGTTACCTTGTAGCAGATATAGTCCTGGGGCAGGAAGAGGCTGGGCTTGAGTTTGAGGACCAGGTCGTACAGGAGGTTCTTGTCACAGTCCTGGAACAGCTGCACCTTGCTCAGGGTGTTGAAGTGGACGTTGATGGCAAGGTCAGTCTGCAGCTTCCGTGGCAGCGTCTCCAGCAGAAACCGCTCATCTGGTAACATGGACACTCATGAGAGATGAAACTGCAGTCCCTACCAACACTGATATGGGGGTCGAGGGGTATTATATGAAAACTGCCATATAATAACCTTTGTATCATATTCCATAACATAAAATTGTAAAATGTATATATTTGCAAGTGAATGCAAAACATTTTCACCTTGTTTGGAAGTCATTGTCACGGGAAAGCCAGCTAAGCAGACAAGCAGACAACGCACTAAGGGACGTAACTCTAATTTCTTACCACCCGGGCAGATATTTTTTGCCATTCAAAATGCATTGATAAGCCATAAGAGCCCGGCAGGGGATGTACTACGGGTCTAGTTATTACACCTCGTAATATGATCGTCGCCATGTTGGCTCTATCGCACATGAAAATTGCCTCATATCATTGATACGATATATGATAAATTGCCTTACAGCACATTGCAGTCACTACCAAGACGTTGCAGTCCCTATCAATACAGAAGCGACAGCCTATAAGTGCAACCATTAAACTGCATTAATGCTTGACCAAAAACTGCAACCCACTCTTAAATTTAAGCGATATTTGGGCTTCAATAACACATGGAATGGACATATAACCATAGTCGGGTCGTATTATACAAAATATCACTCAAAAACCCATCATATAAAGTCAATAACAATATAACCCTGGGCCTTCGGCGTGACAAGCAAACGCTTTAACCACAAGGCTACCTGACCGCCCCCAAGGTATAGTGATGAACTGATGCTTCCATTACATGTGTCAACAGAGGAGTGTTAAATGGTGCTTTCAACGCTGAATGGGTGTATACAACTTGAGACCGAATATTGACGGATGCACATGTCTGTTCAGCTTGTAAAATCCTGTACACACTGCTTTATATTGACACTATAATGCATTTATCATTATCAAAAGTTACAAAGAATCATTTTCATCAAAATATTTGTGTAAGTCAATTAGATCTATCTTGTGGCAACTTGAAGCGAGTGAGTGAGTGAGTGAGTGAGTGAGTGAGTATGGTCTTACACTTCTTTTAGCAATATTCCTGCAATGGCAAGTGTAAACAGGGTTATTTGAGGCATGATAAGCAAGTGATCCCACAAATGTCATAGCTAACTTATATGGGTTTTCAAAAAGACCATGACAGGCCAATAAGATAGCTTATCCGGGTTATCCCTAATGTGTTATGGTAAGAGTGTAGTACCTATGGTCTTGTGCTGCTCCCAATTGTAGAGGAACCACTGGCGAACCCGCTCCTGCATCTCCTTGGGGATGTTGATAGACTCCATGTAGCGGATCGTCTGGTCCATCCTCTTGCGGTAGTTGGACTTTACCTGCCCTGCCGCCTCCACGATGTCTCGGATCTGAGGTGGAGAGACACAGAGTTGCAAAGGGATGCCAGCTGGTATGAGTGTGAGGATATGCCACCTGATGGTGAACATAAAGCCCAATGCCCAAAGTGGGCTGAATTTGATCCAAAAGTCATCTCGTACTTATGTAATAAGTAGAGCATAAAATGACAGTGTAACAATTATCACAAACTTCTTGTTTGTTGTCAGCAATACTCCAGGTATATAAGTATGTGAATGAGTGAGTGAGTATGGTTTTATGCCGCTTTTTCTCTAGCAATATCACAACAGGGGACACCACAAAAATCGGCTTCACACATTGTACCCATGATGGGAATCGAACCCAAGTCTTTAACCACTAGGCTAGAAACTAGTGATTGATATTGTGAACAGCCATCCACTGATTCACAACATGAACAAGTCACTTAACTTACCTGGCCAATAAAAAGTATCAACACAGATACTGTGCATGTCACATGACTCACCTGACCAATGAGAAGTGCAAACACAAAGACCCCTGACAGCCAGTAGAGTGTCATGAAGAGATACTCCAGCTGGTTCTGGGGTTTGGGGTTGTTGCCGATGGAGGTGGCAGTCTTCGTGGCCAGATAGAAGCAGCGGATGTACCTGATCAACAGATGGCAGCTCAATAAAGTTATCTGGCGTTTTCCAACTGAACAGTTCTAGACATGGTGAGTTGGATTTAACATCAATGAGCCAACCGTTGGAGGAAACTAGACAGATTGTAGATGTTCACCACTTTGGTGAAACCAATGAGCACGTGCTGAAAGACCAAGGATTATAAACAAGAAGAAGACTTCAGGATGGCTAAAACATAATTTTAGAATACTTTTGCCATAAGAAAAACCCAACTTGGTGCAAAATGGGAATTAATTCACCTTTTGTTACCTACATAACTTTGATGATTTCACCTTTGATGAGGATTTTAAGCTCGACACTTTGTATCGGATACAAAGATAATAGGACAACGTGATACCAGCGGACATCCTTATTAACCAAGTTGTCCTATGTTTTCAATATACATGTACTACACCATGGCCTTCAATATATTGTTGTTATGTTGTTTAACATCTCACTCAGCAATATTCAAGCTATGACTGCGGCCTGTAAATATTTGAATCTGGACCAGACAATCCAGTGACTGATATTATGAGCAATGATCCAGAATGTCGGGTTACCATGACACGCCATCAACCAAGTCACTACCGATCCATTGCCTCTTTTGACCTGATCAGTTGCTGGGGACCAATTCTAACCCGTAATCCTCACAGGTAGGCCTTCAGTATAAGAGAGTGATAGTGTTAACTCACGCGTTGCCAGTTCCATTGTAGACCCACTGGTTCGAGTTGATGCCCTCGTACACCGACACAGCATAGTAGCCGCACGTCTCAATGTGAATCAGGAACAACATGTACGTCATGGTCTTGATGATCCTGAGGGAGAGAGTCAATGCGTTTATTAGACGACACATCATGGTGGTCAGGTTAAATGTAAAGTAATACAGGTCATTTACTTATTTTGAATTCCATGAGAGTTGCAGAACAGCATGTTGATGTTGGGTAGAGTGCTGCAGGAATGTACCCTGGCCAAACCACTACAGAATGTACCCCAACCAACACTGCAAAGCTTCAGGAGCAACTGGAGTCCATTAAACTGTGTTTGAAAACATTTTTGGCTTCACTTGCATTATCGAACCCACGATCTTAGGTTCCTGGCATGCCCAAGGGACGCAACTGTGGAGACTATGGTGTGGATCTCGTCAGAACATGGAATCAGGATTCAAGCAGTGAAAGCAACTCTGAAAACAGTCACCACATTTATATAACCTTCTCATTCCAACACCTGCATGTCTGGGACAACACTAAATGTATAGGTAATGTGTTAAAGGGCTGATTTCAGTCTTCAGAAGTGTGTTTTTTATATGAAAAATGAGCAAGTCCTTTACAAGATGATTGTCTGAAGATGTTAATGAAGATAGTACAAACATATGGTAAGATATTCATGTTGGACACAGACTTCACTCAGTCTTGCAATACATATTCATCATGTCAGAAGTCCAAAACGTACATGTGTCAGGAAGATAAAAACAGGAAGCTTCCAGTCATGATCCCATATACTCATAACTCAATTAGTTTTCATCACTTCACCAAAGTTTGCTTGTTTCATTTGCTTGTTGTTTAACGCCGCACTCGGCAATATACTCCTATACTATGGCGGTCTGTAGATAATCGAGTCTGGACCAGACAATTCAGTGATTGACATCATGAGTATCGATCCACGCAATTGGGAAATGATGACATGCATCAACCAAGTCAGCAAGCCTGACCACCTGATCCAGTTAGTTACCTCTTAAAACAAGCATGGGTTGCTAAAGGTCAATTCTAACCCGGATCTTCACGGGGGATTTATCTGAGCCTCCTCAAAGATCACAGATATATTCCACTCAGGATAACACTCTTTAGTTTCTAGGAGAGATGAAGTTCCTCTAATAAAGTAAGGAATTGATTGTTTAAACCCCGCAAAGTTCCCGGCTCTGACATGAAACACTTCCATCCATCAGGCTGTGTTGGATGCATTGTCTGTGATCAATAAATGGGAAATTTGCTGCCTCAACAGACAACACCTCCACAAGAAATATGACCAAAGCTCTACAATACACTATGGGCATCCATTTACACAAGTCAAAATTGTTACTGGTGAGGTGAAAACAAAGCAAACTGAGTTTCATCAACTCATACTTCCCAGTAGTGGATACATATCTTCATCTCCACTTTCAGCAAGATCTGGGAGTGGAATGTAGAAATAGTATATGCAATGGATGACAAATGATGATTCACTTCTATATGACAGTTGTAGCAGTGTTTCCGTCTCTACAATAGTAGTCAAGACGCTATCCATACACCCTTGTCAACATTTAATATTTCAGTCTCCATGGATTGCTGAATACAGTTTTAATAAACAACTGCTAAATACTTAGTATTAATGAACAACTGCGTAAGAATTTGTATAATGAACTGATTGCATGAGAGGAACTGGGGCTATCTGATTGCATGAGGGGAACTGGGGCTACCTGATTGCATGAGGGGAACTGGGGACTACCTGATTGCATGAAGGGAACTGGGGCTATCTGATTGCATGAAGGCAACAGGGGCTATACGATTGCATGAGAGGAACTGGGGCTATCTGATTGCATGAGAGGAACTGGGGCTACCTGATTGCATGAGTGGAACTGGGGCTGTCTGATTGCATGAGAGGAACTGGGGCTACCTGATTGCATGAGAAGAACTGGGGCTATCTGATTGCATGAATGGAACCTGATCGGATGAATGGAACTGGGTCTACCTGATTGCATGAGGGCAGCTTGGGCTACCTGGTTGCATGAGAGGAACTGGGGCTATCTGATTGCATGAAGGCAACAGGGGCTATCTGATTGCATGAGGGCAGCTTGGGCTACCTGATTGCATGAGAGGAACTGGGGCTATCTGATTGCATGAATGGAACTGGGGCTACCTGATTGCATGAAGGCAGCTGGGGCTACCTGATTGCATGAGAGGAACTGGGGCTATCTGATTGGATGAATGGAACTGGGGCTATCTGATTGCATGAGGGGAACTGGGGCTACCTGATTGCATGAGAGGAACTGGGGCTACCTGATTGCATGAGGGGAACTGGGGCTACCTGATTGCATGAGAGGAACTGGGGCTATCTGATTGCATGAATGGAACTGGGGCTACCTGATTGCATGAAGGCAGCTGGGGCTACCTGATTGCATGAGAGGAACTGGGGCTATCTGATTGGATGAATGGAACTGGGGCTATCTGATTGCATGAGGGGAACTGGGGCTACCTGATTGCATGAGAGGAACTGGGGCTATCAGATTGCATGAGGGGAACTTGGGCTACCTGATTGCATGAGGGCAGCTTGGGCTACCTGATTGCATGAATGGAACTGGGGCTATCTGATTGCATAAGGGCAGCTGGGGCTACCTAATTGCATGAGAGGAACTGGGGCTATCTGATTGCATGAGAGGAACTGGGGCTATCTGATTGCATGAGAGGAACTTGGGCTATCTGATTGCATGAAGGCAACAGGGGCTACCTAATTGCATGAGAGGAACTGGGGCTATCTGATTGCATAGGGGCAACAGGGGCTACCTAATTGCATGAGAGGAACTGGGGCTATCTGATTGCATGAGAGGAACTGGGGCTATCTGATTGCATGAGAGGAACTGGGGCTATCTGATTGCATGAAGGCAACAGGGGCTACCTTATTGCATGAGAGGAACTGGGGCTACCTGATTGCATGAAGGCAGCTGGGGCTACCTGATTGCATGAGAGGAACTGGGGCTACCTGATTGCATGAGAGGAACTGGGGCTACCTGATTGCATGAGTGGAACTGGGGCTATCTGATTGCATGAGGGGAACTGGGGCTACCTGATTGCATGAGTGGAACACGGGCTATCTGATTGCATGAGAGGAACTGGGGCTACCTGATTGCATGAGTGGAACTGGGGCTATCTGATTGCATGAGTGGAACTGGGGCTATCTGATTGCATGAATGGAACTGGGGCTATCTGATTGCATGAGTGGAACTGGGGCTATCTGATTGCATGAGAGGAACTGGGGCTACCTGATTGCATGAGGGGAACTGGGGCTACCTGATTGCATGAATGGAACTGGGGCTATCTGATTGCATGAGGGCAGCTGGGGCTACCTGATTGCATGAGAGGAACTGGGGCTATCTGATTGCATGAGAGGAACTGGGGCTATCTGATTGCATGAGAGGAACTGGGGCTATCTGATTGCATGAGAGGAACTGGGGCTACCTGATTGCATGAGAGGAACTGGGGCTATCTGATTGCATGAGAGGAACTGGGGCTATCTGATTGCATGAGAGGAACTGGGGCTATCTGATTGCATGAGGGGAACTGGGGCTATCTGATTGCATGAGGGAAACTGGGGCTACCTGATTGCATGAGGTGAACTGTGGCTACCTGATTGGATGAATGGAACTGGGTCTACCTGATTGCATGAGGGGAACTGGGGCTACCTGATTGCATGAGAGGAACTTGGGCTACCTGATTGCATGAATGGAACTGGGGCTTCCCGATTGCATCAATGGAACTCGGGCTATCTGATTGCATGAATGGAACTGGGGCTATCTGACTGCATGAGAGGAACTGGGGCTATCTGATTGCATGAATGGAACTGGGGCTATCTGACTGCATGAGAGGAACTGGGGCTATCTGACTGCATGAGAGGAACTGGGGCTATCTGACTGCATGAGAGGAACTGGGGCTATCTGACTGCATGAGAGGAACTGGGGCTATCTGATTGCATGAGGGGAACTGGGGCTACCTGATTGCATGAGCTGAAGCGTTGGCCGCCTGGTCGCACCGCTCGTAGAACTCCCAAAATGTCTGCACCTGGAACAGAACCAATCCCACAACTCATCAAACAATGATGATGAACTATCAACTTTAGTTTATAGCTCCTAGACATTATTAGTCAATTCTGTATCGTAAATATCATACTTAAGGAATAAAAAATGTATTATGTAAGACTAATACATATTTTGTATTTCTGATATTTGATATTTATGATATAGAAACACTAGAGGATGATTATCTCTTTACCATTTGTCATACTTACATAATCAATGTTTAAATCATAATTTGTCTTTATGAAGCAACTTTAGAAACTGTGTTGGCGTGAAGTGACACATTTATCATATAGTGCCAAATGATTTGCAGCCATTATCACACTAGTCATGTGCAGCCTGGCATTGCTTACTTTGAGCTTGTGGAGCCTGGTATTGCTTACTTTGAGCTTGTGGAGCCTGGTATTGCTTACTTTGAGCTTGTGGAGCCTGGTATTGCTTACTTTGAGCTTGTGGAACCTGGTATTGCTTACTTTGAGCTTGTGGAGCCTGGTATTGCTTACTTTGAGCTTGTGGCGCCTGGTAATGCTTATTTTGAGCCTGTGGAGCCTGGCATTACTTACTTTGAGCTTGTGGAGCCAGACATTGCTTACTTTGAGCATGTGGAGCCTGGCATTGCTTACTTTGAGCTTGTGGAGCCTGGTATTGCTTACTTTGAGCTTGTGGAGCCTGGCATTGCTTACTTTGAGCTTGTGGAGCCTGATTTGCTTACTTTCAGGTTGTGGAGCCAGGCATTGCTTACCTTGAGCTTGTGGAGCCTGGCATGGCTTACCTTAAGCAATCTTGGTGTGTGCGACCTGACACTGCTTATGTTGAGAATGTGGACCAAATTACTGCTTACCTTGAACAGTCTTGGCTTGTGTGCTAAGTATTGCTTACCTTCGGCAGCCTTGGCTTGTGTGCCAAGTATTGCTTACCTTCAGCAGTCTTGGCTTGTGTGCCAAGTATTGCTTACCTTCAGCAGCCTTGGCTTGTGTGCCAAGTATTGCTTACCTTCAGCAGTCTTGGCTTGTGTGCCAAGTATTGCTTACCTTCAGCAGTCTTGGCTTGTGTGCCAAGTATTGCTTACCTTCAGCAGTCTGGGTATACGGAGCCAGGCATTGACACCTATTCCAGGTACAAGGTATAGCAAGTCAAGTGGAAGCAGGGAACAGACGTCCAGCTGAAACAATAGAAGAGTTAACATGGAGGAATCTCACAGCTGTAATATAAAGAAGATGAATCCTCTTCAACATGGGAGGTCAGCACAAAGCCGAAGCATTACTGAAAGTTTCAGGTCTTAAAGATTCCTCCTTGGTTTCATTTCATATATGTAACATTTTATTTCTTGTAAAACTCACAAAGACAATCCTACCTTAAACATAAGTTTCTTCATATAATGTTTCTTTGTCAGCTTTCTGTCACACTGCAAAATATAAGAGTGCAGTTCAAAACATCACATATCAAGCAGCAATAATGTCAAAACAAGTCTCTTGTTTTTGCAATTGTGATTCATGTGTAATGACAAACAACAGATCAAAAGCATATCACATGAAATTATCATCATATTATTATAAAACAATCAATAGAAAATTACAGAGACCTTAGTGGTTAATGGCTCCGAACAAAAAGACAACACCAACATTAAGATATCAGATTATACCTCAATTATGCCGTCATTAACGAATCTGATCCTGACTTTGAAGATGACGATGTCAAGGATGTAGACCAAGTCAAAGGTGTAGTCACAGATTAGCCAGTACCACACATTGTCTGAGGTCTGGTAGGGGAAGAAGCCACGGAGGGGGATCACCCAGGCGTTGTACATGTAGGCCAGCATGACAAGGAACAGCCAGCCCACGTACAGTTTACCTGTAGGAGAGAGAGATATCAGTGGTAGGGGAAGCATGACAAGGAACAGCCAGCCCACGTACAGTTTACCTGTAGGAGAGAGATCGAGATATCAGTGGTAGGGGAAGGTTGGTTGGTTGGTTTGTTGTTTAACACTGCACTCAGCAATATTCCAGCTATATGACGGCGGTCTGTAAATAATCGAGTCTGGACCACACAATCCAGTGATTGATATGAGCATCAATCCATGCAATTGGGATCGATGACATGCATCAACCAAGTCAGCGAGCCTGACAACCCGATCCCATTAGTCGCCTTTTATGACAAGCAAAGTTGCCTTTTACGGCAAGCATGGGTTGCTGAAGACGTATTCTACCCGGATACGGGTAGGGGAGGTCTGGTAGGGGAAGAAGCCACGGAGGGGGATCACCCAGGCGTTGTACATGTAGGTCAGCATGACAAGAAACAGCCAGCCCACATACAGTTTACCTGTAGGAGAGAGAGATGTCAGTGGTAGATGTTGAATGGGGACCTTGAGGTTTTCTCACAGCATGACACACAACTTTAGATAAAGTGAGTGAGTTGTGTTTAACGCCACTATGAACAGTATTCCAGTATCACAGCGTGTCAGCTTTATGTGTGAAGAAAGCCAGAAGTGATGCAGGTCTCAGACATTTACCACTTTGGTGTAACCCATGAGCACAGGTATGGTGCCAACAGACCTTGAAACAAAATCGGAGCAAACTGGGATTCAAACTGATCATAGCTTTCTGACATGCTCAAGGGAAGCAACTCTGCACAGCGAATTGTGGCCCTCAGATGACTGGACCACCCATTCCCCCAAGTTAAGATAGAACAAGTATTTGTCACAGAAGTGACGAAATGTCCCCCGCCTGTATATACACCATAGTTCCAAATATGAAAACAATCCAGTGTTTAGTTCTTGAGATATCGCGGCAACACCGTTTTCAAACTCAAAAAGCAGATTTGCCTGCTGTGACCTTGAAAATGGGGTCAAGGTCACCAAAACCGACTGGTGTCTGCGGTGGCTGTATATACACCATAGTTCCAAATATGAAGACAATCCAGCGATTACTTCTTGAGATATCGCGGCAACACCGTTTTCCAACTCCAAAAGCAGATTTACCTGCTGTGACCTTGAAAATGGGGTCAAGGTCACCAAAACCGACTGGTGTCTGCGGAGTCTGTATATACACCATAGTTCCAAATATGAAAACAATCCAGTGTTTAGTTCTTGAGATATCGCGGCAACACCGTTTTCAAACTCAAAAAGCAGATTTGCCTGCTGTGACCTTGAAAATGGGGTCAAGGTCACCAAAACCGACTGGTGTCTGCGGTGTCTGTATATACACCATAGTTCCAAACATGAAGACAATCCAGTGTTTAGTTCTTGAGATATCGCGGCAACAAACAGGTGGGACGTACGGACGGACGTACGGACGGTCGTGAATACTATATCCCCCGCTTCGCGCTTTCGCGCGGCGGGGGATAAATATTACAATGTCCGGACTGAATGGACAGACAAGCCTTCATTATGAATACTCTTGGACACTGCCATGGCACTGAGTTTTGTGCCACTTTGATGTGCAACAGAGGATGCACGGGGACACCAAGACACTGAGTCAAACCCAGCTGACAATATGTACTTCAGCGTGCCATGTGTAATAAGTGTCCCAGCTGGTGCCCACCCAGCAGCTAGACATGTGTAGCAGTGTAGGGGCGCCCTCACAACATGAGCCAGCTGATGTTTTATCTATTAGTTCATCCATCCACCATTCACACTTAATAGCTCAATTGTTGATAACGCTAGTCATGCACACTTGTTAATTAATTTTATGGACAGACTATTTGACATTCAGGGTAGGACGGACGTGGGAGCTTGGAAAAAAAAGATTGTTAGTGAAAAAATCATTTGTCTTCAGGTTTTACATAAAAATCAAACTGTTCACTTGACACACTGGATGAAAAGAACATGTACTCAGAAAACCAAATACATTTTAGCTAAAATGGATAGAATTATAATTAAACCACCCGCATGTTATCAGAAATGAGCGGGCCACTGTAACTTGATAATGCCCTCATATTGCTTGACGATGGGCCATTATCACACCCTTTGTTAGGTGATGTCATAGGGATAGGGAAGGGTGACGTCACGTTCAATAGTGACGTCATCTGGTTTGTTCTATGACGTTTCCATATTTGTAAAAGTGGGTCAGGAAAATTTGTGTTGTTTGCAGTAAATGTTTCAAAACCGATATTGTTGTTTATTTTTATTTGATAAATTCTATCCATTTTAGCTATAATGAAAATAGGAATCAAATATTATAAGGGTACCGCTATTTTCAGGGCATTATAATTTGCAGAAACCTTTGATCTTTTAAACGGTCCTCCTTCATCGGGCAGTTAATGGAAGAGCTCGGGCTTCTGCAAATGATAATGCCCTGAAAAATAGCGTTACCCTTATGATATTTGCCTCCTATTTTCATATAATCTGTTTTCGTATTTCAGCAACAGAAAAAATATCTTATCACTAAAAAAATCCTGGCCCACCTAGAATAACAAATGTTGGGTCCTTGGTAAAAATATTTGGTCAGATGGATAAAACTATGATTTTATTAAACATACACTGTACATGTAGAAAAGGCATTTTGTTTTCTCCACATGCTGCACAATACATCTGTCACGAACACAGCATTAGAGACATGCACTATCATTAACTAACACATGATGGGTAAAAGCTGATATTATCCCAGAGTTATACAGATAATGGTAAGCATGTGGAAGAGGACAAAGGACACAATTTACTCATTTTACACTGAATGTCTGGAGGTACTTTCTTCCTCAAACCTTTTAATGTCAAAAGCCAAGTCCCTTAAAGCCAAATCAATTAGTTACTTCTCCTTGCAAGGCCTACCTGTGAATACCCTTCACACTAAGCATACCTTAATGTCAACATTCCCAAGTGACTCTCTTTCATTCAGTCAAAGGCAACCATTAGAAAATAAAATAAAAATAGCTGATTTTTTTTAGCCTAACTGCTTCATGAATAGATCACAAAAATAAAAGCATACAACAACAAAAATGAAAGAAAACAGTAAGCCTCCTCCCATTGTTTCCCTCCTGTCCCTACAGGTAACACCAGGGCTGCCAACTCACTCTGAGCCTCAATGGTGTTGGGGAATCTGATCTTGCGCAGGCACTTGGGCATTCTGAAGCGACACTGCCATACCCCCACAAGCATTTCCTTGTTGGTCTCACTAGCCTCGGAGAACACCTCGCTTGTCCTCGACCCCATCGGTATGAACGACCCCAGACGGATGTTCCTTGGGGCAGGAGTTTCGTCCCCGTCCAAACCTGATACTGCTGCAAAAAAAATGAATTCTGACCTTTAAAACCTAATTTACAAATGTTGTGCCCACTGGGTCGAAGTGTCAAGTGAAAGTGGTACGAATTGCATGTAATGACGGTAGTTGTATTTTTACAACATATTCTTCAGCGTCTGGACCTGTTGTCATAGGTCTTCAGCTGGGAAACCTTGTAGTCCCAGTTATGTGTAAGTACTCGCAGCATTGTGAAGATTAAAAAGCCTTTGTCATGCAAGGGGAGTGTGTCTCCCCACTTCCCCAATGATTTTATACGCTGGGTTCGATCATTCACCCGCTTCCTACTGACTTTAAACAGTGATCCAGGATTTGTAATTGATTGGTTGCAAAGACAAACATTTTTAGTGAAAGAGTAGATCTGGATCTATATGTCTGTAAAATGACACTTGCATTTATCACTTGACTACACCCTTCACATACAGAAACAGAAGCCCTTTCTGTTGGGCTCTGGGAATATTGGTTTAAAGTGGTGCTGGCACATGAAACGTTTTGATTACTGAATAGTGTTCCAAATGGGTGTTGAAATAACCTTTAAAGTGTTTCACTAATGCTGGCTAAATCCAAGACTATCTATCTGCTTATCCCTTGTAGTTGTGGTTTAACATTGCTTCTAACAGTATATTTGTTAAATCAGGGCATGTCAGCGTATGTAGGACAATGTCCATATTGATGGAGGTCGAGACAATGTCCTGAACCCCATGGACATATTGCAGACACACCAAAATTCATTATTATGGCAAATGTGGAATTTTAACTCCTGGACATCAGATTCAAGCAGCTAAGGGATGAGCCTTAGAACCTTGCACAGGGATTTATCTAGGTGTTCATAGAAACTATATTTTGGCTCGAAGTCAACATCAAATGTCTGTAAAAATTCCCACATTTGCATTCAAAATTTCCTCATTCTGATTTTCCAGATGGTTCTTTGTGAAGGTGACGTGTAAGTCTGATAACATGACCAAGAAAGGGAAAAAGGTTACTTTTAAAAATTGCATTGAATGTAATATTTAAAAAACTCTTTGTGAAATAAACAAAACTATCCCAATTTCACAACATGTTGTGTTTTCCCCAATTTCTGGCCACATGCACTTGGTTCGTTGTGTGTTTGTTTGTTTGGTGTTTAACATAGCAGTCAGCAATATTCCAGCTATGTGACGGCGGTCTGTAAAAAATCGAGTGAGTGAGTATGGTTTTAAGATGCTTTTAACAATATTCCAGCAATATCACAGTGGAGAAACACCAGAAATTGGCTTCACACATTGTATAAATGTGGGGGATTGAATCTGGGTCTTCAGTATGATGAACCAACGCTTTAACCATTAGGCTACCTCACCACCCTGTATAAAATTGAGTCTGGACAAAAAAATCCAGTGATTGACATCACTAGCATCCACACAATTGGATGAAATGTGTCAACCAAGTCAGTGAGTCTGACAGCCCGATCCTCTTATGACAAGCATATTTACGCTTTACGCCAAGCGTGGGTTGCTGAAGACTTATTCTAACCTGTATCTTCACGTGTTGCACTTGGTGTGAAAAAAACCCATGGTGAAAGCACCTTCGGGTCATTGTCTGATTAGTCTACTAAATGATAAAATTTGCCATTTAGAACACATTGTCCCGCATACCTCTGGGACACAATACTCGGCTCAATCAGCTCTGCCTTGTGTTTGGAGGAGTTGAGGACAAAACACACCAAGCAGGTACCTCTGGCATACAATACTTGTGCTCAATCAGCTCTGCCTTGTGTTTGGAGGAGTTGAGGACAAAACACACCAAGCAGGTACCTCTGGGACACAAAACTTGTGCTCCATCAGCTCTGCCTTGTGTTTGGAGGATTTGAGGACAAAACACACCAAGCAGGCACCTCTGGGACACAATACTCGGCTCAATCAGCTCTGCCTTGTGTTTGGAGGAGTTGAGGACAAAACACCCCAAGCAGGCACCTCTGGAACACAATACTCGGCTCCATCAGCTCTGCCTTGTGTTTGGAGGATTTGAGGACAAAACACACCAAGCAGGCACCTCTGGGACACAATACTTGTGCTCAATCAGCTCTGCCTTGTGTTTTGAGGAGTTGAGGACAAAACACACCAAGCAGGCACCTCTGGAACACAATACTCGGCTCAATCAGCTCTGCCTTGTGTTTTGAGGAGTTGAGGACAAAACACCCCAAGCAGGCACCTCTGGAACACAATACTCGGCTCCATCAGCTCTGCCTTGTGTTTGGAGGATTTGAGGACAAAACACACCAAGCAGGTACCTCTGGGACACAATACTTGTGCTCCATCAGCTCTGCCTTGTGTTTGGAGGAGTTGAGGACAAAACACACCAAGCAGGTACCTCTGGGACACAATACTCGGCTCAATCAGCTCTGCCTTGTGTTTGGAGGAGTTGAGGACAAAACACACCAAGCAGGTACTTCTGGGACACAAGACTTGTGCTCAATCAGCTCTGCCTTGTGTTTTGAGGATTTGAGGACAAAACACACCAAGCAGGTACCATTGGACTGTTCAAACCTTGCCGACTTATTGACATAAAGTAACAGGTTGAGTGTTTGCATTTCATTTAACAGTAGTTAACAAAATCCATATATTACAACCATTGTCGCAATCATTCAAATGCAAAGGAACTTGGAGTAACACAAATCCTTGATTGAACATAATTTCAATTTAAAACCAAACCTCTGAGACATGTGTCAGGACAGGACAAGGAAATGCCCAACCCCGGAGAGTGTACACCCTGTGCATATTGTTATGTGGCAGTCGATTTCTGTTGTAGGTAGTATGTTCAGTGGCAGCATATGAAGCATTCATACAAGGTCTCTCTGTTGTTCTGACCAGATTCTTTTAGTGGCAACATCGGCAGCAAGTTACTTAGAGTTACCTCCCTTAGTTGTGAACATGTATTTAAGAGTCTTGATCATTGGAGAAGTTCCATGAGGTGCCATTTTCTAGAAGGTTGGCTGAAGGTTTAGTTCTGTCAAAACTTATTTCTGGGTTAACCTTAGTGTTATATCTGTAATTGAAACGCAGTAGTTTTAAACAAGCTAGTGTATAATATTATGACAGGCCAACAGATGTCCGCTCTTGTAATGCGATTAGTTGCAGGTAAGCGCAATCACGTGCTGTTATGTAACATGCGACAGTCGGAATAAACAGCCGGTCAAGTGGCAGGCTCGTCTCCCTGCTCCCGCGTTTGTCGTTCCTCCCTGAGAACCCAACATTTTGGCGACGAGGATGGGATCCAAGGTAGCTATGAAGTATATGTAAAGGAATTTTGGTAAGTTTATCTGGCTGTTTGACGGTACATTGACGAGGTGTGTTCGTTGCGACGAGTGTGTTCGCTCTTCTTGAGGCATTATAACCGTCACTATCTTCAGCTCAGAGATTATGGCTACCACGGGTTTTGTTTGTGGATTGTTTGAATTTAATCCAAAGAAGTCGACATGGGAGGAATGGTGTGAGATACTGACACATGTTTTCGTGGCAAACGGAATTACAGACGAAAACAAACAGAAAAGCATACTGTTAGCGTCATGTGGAACTGAAACTTACCAGTTGATAAGAGCATTGGTTCAGCCCGTGAAACCTAGCGAGAAAACGTTTGACCAGCTGGTGGTTTTATTGAAAGAACATTTCACGCCAAAACCATCGGAAATTGTACAGAGATTTAAATTTCATTCACGGAATAGGAAGGCTGGTGAAAGGGTAGCTGCTTATGTCGCCGAATTGAGAAAGTTGACTGACGGGTGTGATTTTGGAACGTCTTTACAGGCCATGTTGAGAGACAGGTTAGTGTGTGGTATTTTTGATGACAATATTCAGAAAAAGTTGTTGTCAGAGGCTGCTCTAACATTTAGTAGTGCATTGAAAATTGCTAACGCAATTGAGGCGGCAGACAAGAATCTACAGGATCTTCACGGTGATAAAACTGTGGGACATTCAGTACACAAGTTTCGCAGTAAACCATCAGCACAATCTACAAAAGACCAGAGGCCTCATGTTGGATCTGGAAATAACAAACCTTGTTTTAGATGTGGAAAAACTACTCATGCTCCACACATGTGTTTTTATAAGAATGAGAAGTGTCATAAGTGTGGAAAACGTGGCCATATTGTGAGAGTCTGCAGGTCAGAAGAATCAATTCCGCAGAAACAGAATTCTAAGGCTAAATTCAAGGGAAGACAGAAAGTGAATGCTGTAGTGAGTGAGGTGAACTCGTGTGGCCCAGGTAATAGCAGTGCTAGTGTGGAAGACTTGTTTGAGAACTCGCTATTTCATGTTAGTACTCAGCCTTCGGCTAAAGGTGATCCAAACTACCCAAACCCCTACTACATTACAGTGGATGTTAATGGCACACCAGTGACGTTTGAGGTTGACACGGGATGCCCAGTGACCATTGTGAATGAGCAGACGGCTCAAAGAATTGGCCTTCAGTCATCGACATTATACACTTCACAAGTACCCCTGCGAAGTTATACAGGACAGGAAGTAGATTAACATACTTATGAAAGTCTCTCGGAGAGGGACTGATGCAACTCTGACAATATGACAGATCTGAGTTTCAATGGAATGATGACCCTCGAACCTCTCAATAAGCATCCATCCATCACACTGAGTTCAGAACGAACTCTGTAGTACGGCTCATAGTGGTCATCCAACTTATCACGCTGCGGCCAACCTCGGATCACAAATTCTCGAACAATAGACAATGTTCGGTCCTTGCCAGTCTGGATACTTATGTCTTTAGACTTCAGAGGGCATGTGTCCAATTCCTGAAGCATTAAGACTGTCATGTCTTCCATAGGCTTCCCTGAGTCAGGCGCTGGCAACCTGCTCAATGCGTCTGCATTGGTATGCTGTGTACCTTTCCTGTGTACAATTTTATAGTCATATGCAGTCAACAACACTGACCATCTCTGAACTCTTGGAGACACCATCTGTGGCACTGGATTATTCTCATTGAATAATGACACCA